CTCCCACTTGCCTAGCAATGTGATTTTTGGGATTGTTGACAGGGGTTATCATATTGACCTTCAGACTGGTTTTGTGGTTCTGCAACCTTGTGTTATGGCACATTGCCACCAATAAAAGTTTGAGTAGCTTGTGTCACAGTGGATGATCTGTTGGATTGAACCACACAGGATAGCCTTTGTTGCTCTTGCATCAATGAGCCTTAGGTGCACAACACTCTGCCACCAATTTCTCTAAACTACTGTTGGCAGTGTCTCCCCACTGCTAAATGGGAGCAAAACACAAGCCTTGCCATTCCAGAGATACTCTGACCAACTTGCCATAACAATTTAACCTTTGTCAAAGTCACTCAAGTCTTTATTCCTGCAGCATTCTTGCTTCCAACATGTTAAGTAAATGAACTGATTGATAAATGAACCCAGATCTTAACCCTCTAACATGTACTCTATAAGCACCCTAAAGACCATTTTAAGGGATGTAAACAAAAACAATGGTCCCAACGTATTACTTGTTTTACATTTTTTATTTCTATAGCTTCCGAAAATGCAAAAAGAGCCACATATTAATAAATAATGTTATGATAGCTGTTTTAACGTTAAGTTATTACTGAATTTACACTTGTTACAGTAATGAAATGTTCATGGGCTAATTATATGACCACATTGAAATAGTCTATAACACCCACGCACACCAAGATTAAAAAATGACCAATTTCTTTAGCTATATTGTGTCTTTGACACCACTCTACTGTAAGCAAATTTAGATATATTTGTTTTAATGATACAATTTGCACAAAGTAAACAGTTAACTTTTAATTAAGAAGTGATAAAACTTGTTGCTTTAAAATTATTAAGTGAATGAACTATATGCATAATTATCAAGTAAATAAGTTAGGTCTCAAGTAATCAGTTTCAAGTTAGAATCATTTTAATAACTTATTTAAAGTCAGTTTGACACAATTAAGGCAATGGTTTTGCTCACTTTTTCAAGCAAAGTAACTAATCACTTTTTACAATGTACAATGTCTGCTAATATGTGGCCTTGTTAGATCAGTACCAAATATGACTTCACCTGTGACAGGTCACAATGGTTTGGCTCATTAGTTTATAAATCAGTGTATACGATTCAAATAAGGCAGATGCAACACTTCATTAAAGTTAGTTTAGCCATCTGTTCCTTACCGCATTTTAAATCACAGAAACATACTTTTTTGCACAGTTTTGCACAGCTCTGTGTCCTAAATCTGCCATATATCCAACATAATACATCAAAGTCTTTACAAGCTTCAGTCGAGCCAGATGACCGTCTGTTGCTTTGGTACTGGGTTCAAAACACCCTGAAGCAACATTTCACAAACACATTTAGGCAGTGAAGCCACCACACACTTTTTAGGCATTTTGAGGGACGCATTTCTTGACTGACATGTAGCCTATATACGCTTGACAAGTAACAAGTGAAACGACTGCTGTCAGCAACTCATGAAAAACAAATTACACCAAAATCGAGGAGCGACATTAGCTATATATCAATAATAAATGTGGAGGGACAGCTTGTGCACCGAACGAAATTGAAGAGATGCAATATTTTGCGGGAGGCAACAAAACCCCTTCATATCAAGAAGCAAAATTACATTTTCTTGGCTTATCTGGGACTCACACTCTGCTCTTTTTGCAGATTTCTACCTCCTACATAAGCCACAGAACAGTCCTTCTTGCTCTTTTATCCTAATATTGGGTGTCTTCGCGCTAATTTTCTTCCGGCTTTCTTATTTCGGCGTTTCATCTCAAGTCATTTCTCTTTTAGTTTCATTTTATTCACCTTCATCACCTCTCTATATTCATTCCTGACATTGTCATTTTTTTCAATTTGTCTCTCCTTGTCTTTGGCTTTAACTTTGCCTCTTTGTTCGCCCTCTGTCTAGCAGCAAGAGAGCACTATTCCTGCAAATGGTCTGTCAGATACGTGTGTCGATAATCAACCCTGCTGGGAGGGCCATAGAAAATTGACCATAACCACTATTCAAGTAACTATACACTGCTGGACAGCCAGTCGGTATTTGAGAAAAGCGGGGAAGCCAAGCATGAAAAGAACAAGGGTAAAGGGAGAAAATGGGATAATCATAGAGGAGAAACACACATCTATCAATCAATCAACAAATCAGTAATGCATTAAAAAAACATGGGCGCACTTATTTAAAAAGAGCTGTCTTCCTTTTTGGAGTTTAGCATAAGGTTGAGATACAGGTGCTGATCTCTAAGCAGTGCTGCAATCACAGCTGTATTCTATCCTCCCAAGAGCAGCAGCAATTTTCTCCGAAATTGAACCTTTCAAGGCCACAGTGACATTACAAAAAACACAAGAGGCCTTGCAGAAACTGCAGAAAATCTGCAGAACCCTATTGAAAAGGTGGTGATCGTTTGAATCATTTAAAAACTGCAGGTGAACAAAACAAACCAAAAAAAGGGGAACAAGACTCTTTTTTTTGGTCACAATATTTGTTTCATTATAATGTTTGCAAAATAAAGGAATAAATCCAAAATGTACTGAAGGAACGAATTACTCCAAACTGCACAATTCTGCCATCATTTATTATCCATTCACATTTGCATGCATGGTACCTATTTTATTATTGAATGAATATAAACTGGAACTTTTAATCATCTAAAAGTTTATGGGATATTTGCTAAATGTATTTTTAAATATATTTTATGTATATAATGGTTATATTACATCCATCTGTAAGTATCACCATGGTTTTTCTATAATTGCACTTTGTAACTTATACCTATCCTGCACTTGATGCTATTGCACTCCTGGTTAGACCTAAACTGCATTTTGTTGCCTTGTACATGTGTGATGACAATAAAGTTGAGTCTAATCTAATCTAATCTAATCTAATCTAATTTTTTTTTAAATACTCAAATTTAACTTTTGTATATTGTATACAAATATATAAAAATATACTGTTTGTATATTGTTAACTACATAGATGAGAATCAGCAACTCCAAGTCTGAGGCCATGGTGCTCCACCGGAAAAAGGTGGTTTGCCATCTCCAGGTTGGAGGAAAGTCCTTACCCCAGGTGAAGGAGTTCAAGTATCTTAGAGTTTTGCTCACAAGTGAGGGAAGGATGGAACGGGAGATTAACAAGCTGACTGGTGCAGTGGCAGCAGTAATGCAGTCCATGTACCGGTTCGTTGTGGTAAATAAGGAGCTGAGCCAAAAGGCAAAGTTCTCGATTTACCGATCATACTATGTTTCTACTCTCAACTATAGTCATGAGCTTTGGTTCATGACCGAAAGGACAAGATCTCGGAAACAAGCCGCCAAAAATGAGAGAACATCAAGAGAAGTCAGCTGAGGTGGCTCGTGCATCTGTTTCAGATGCCTCTTGAACGCCTACCTAGGAAGGTGTTCCAGGTATGTCCCACCGGAAGGAGACCTTGGGGAAGACCCAGGACATGATGGAGAGACTATGTCTCTCTGCTGGCCTGGGAAAGCCTCGGGATCCCCTAGAGGAGCTGGAGGAAATGTCTGGGGAGAGAAAAATCTGGGGTTCTTTCCTAAGACTGCCCCCCCCCCCGCTACCCAGCCACGGAAAATCGGTTGAAAATGATTGAATGAATGAATGAATGAATGAATGAATGAATGAATGAATGAATGAATGAATGAATGAATAAATGTTCAATATGTTTTTAAGCTTTTATTTGATCGAAAATGTAGTAAAAACAGTAATATTACGTAATATTGTTACAAATTTAAATATTATCTCTGGGATGGCAAAGATGAATACTTAAAGCCATTACTCCAGTCTCCAGTGTCACACAACCTCTCAGAAATAATTCTGATATACTAATAACAGAGAAAATATCATTATGTTGACAACTGTGCTAAATATACTAAATATTTAATAATTGTTTTTATATTTAATATTTGTGCGAACACCATAATTAATTTTTCAAGATTCCAAAGTCTTTCCAAAGTTCCAAAAAAAATTATTATTATTATTATTATTAATTATATATTATTTTATTATATCATTAATAATATATTATTATTATTATATATTATTTATTTATTGGGAAAAGAACAGTTGTTAAGTTGTTTAAAATGTCTTTTTTTCCTACAAGAGAAATAAAGTTGTACAGGCTTGGAATAACATCAAGATTTATGGATACTATGAACAGCATAGCTGGAACCGACGACTGCAATCAACAGTGTTAATGTGCAGATGGACAAGCAGTTCTCTTCTTTAGATCTTTCCAACTACTCTGTAGCTGTCAGACACATCAGTGATGATGTAAAACAAGTGTCAACTCCTGCAGCCGTGTTCGGAATAGCAAATAGTGCAACATAAGTGTATGAATTTTTATGGTTTGCTGGAAATATAAAAAGAACCTGTCCACATGAATCACTACATCACCGAAAATCAATTACAAGAACTGGATAACAATCTTCAGTCTTAACATTAAGACTCCCTGATTATGCCATCAAATACAGCATAAAGAAAAAATGAGGTCGCTGCAACAGGTGGAGGAAAAAGGTACTGCGGCAGTCAGTGTGATGCCCTTCCTGTTGTGATTGCACCTGCTGCAGTGTCTAAATGAATAAGAAGTCTGAAAACAAACATCCTGCTGGGATTCACTCATGTCCTCCCACAGAAGTTATTTATCTCCCAGAGAAATAAATAAGTCAACAGTGCTGCAGTGAAGCAGGCATCATTTATGAAGTAGGGATCATGAACAATATTACCAACTGAGAAAGTGGAGTGATGTGATTATGCTGGCAGCTATTATGAAACACCTTTTCATATGTTATCGAAAACTGAGGTAGGAGGATAGTGGGCAGATGGATGGAACTGACTGACCTCAAAATAGGTTTGTGACTGAGTTCAAGTGCATTTCGGAGTAATTGCATGAAAAAACAGCCCGAATCAATGACTAGAGCTGGACAAATGAATAAAAGCGCATACTGTGACTGTATGACTGGAGTAAACATTTACCGCTTGCATTCTTGCCACAAATGAGGTGCTGGTACGGCTGCAAAAGACCCCACAGCTCCGAGTCGTTGTTTATGGCCTGTTCTAGGGACTCCACGGAAAACTTTGGCACTCCGTTCTCCTTCTCCACCAGCGCGCTCCTCTGCACCCGGGTAAACACCTCTCTGAACAGGCTCTCCATACAGGCGCTCAGGTAGATCGCCGCGTGCTCGTGGATGCGCAAGGCCACCCGGCTATCCACCATCCACCTGAAGAACTTTCCCACGGAGAAGATAAGTCCGCATCGGGTTGACTTGCCCCGGCTGAACTTATCACCCGTGCTCATGTTGTAAAGCGACAGCGCGCTGAGCGCCGCAGTAATGCAGTTCACGGAGATGGTCCACGAGAGGACCATCTTGATAGCGCTCTGGATCTCGTGCTTGGTGCATCTGGCGTAACGCAGACTCATGCGCTGCGCCTCCCGGGCGATCCTCACCAGCGCGCGGCTGACCAGCGCGGAGAGCTTGGCCAGGATCTCCCGCGACGCGTTCCCCACGCACAGCTCCTCGTCTTTGCGCAGCGCTCCTTCCACCTCTCCAAGACTCCACGGCACGTCCTCCTCCAGCTCGGGCAGTTTGGCGCACTGGCCCGAGCACTCCAGGATCTCCGTGTCTTCCGCCAGGACGGTATTGACCGTGTCCAAACTGTTGTGTCTGCTGTGCATTGACTCAGTCAGATGCCAGCAGTTTCCCCCATGCGCATACGACAGATGCGTGTCCGAGCAACAGAGCGACACGCTGGACGACCTGAAGGAATCCGCCGCTCCACCATAACCGGAATCGAGCGTTAAATCCTCCAGCGTCCTCGCCGCTGTCTTACCCTTGCCTGCCATGGCTGCACCTCATAATGTTAGGCTTGTGCCTGATGTTTTAAAGAAAGCCCAAAGCGCGTCCCTGTGGCGCGCCCTCTCCTCAAAGCAGTAGAGGAATGTATAGCCAGCAAAATTACACGCGCAAACACCAATAGCCAATACAAGCGTGCGTAATTTGACAATTCGTTTAGTATTTTGGTAAGTCACCGGGGAAGAAATATCTCCAACGCGCGCCTCTGCTCCCAACTTTGCGTGCGTAATTCAAGAGCTCGGAACGCCTTCACCAACCACTGCATCACTCACTGCGAAACCACTCGTTCGGGGAGGGGCTATGCAAATCACTTTCTTATGGCAGGAGGGACTGTGTGTATAAATCACTGTTATGGAGGGACGGACTATGCAGATACAGAATAACTCATGATCATTTCAACAGGCTCCAAAACATTAAAAAAAAAAAAGAAAGTACATCAAACAAATAGTCTCATTAAACAGAATCCTCTTCAAATATTCCCTATAACAGAATTAGACATATAAAACTCTAAATAAAATGTAAAGAACACATTTTGCACACAAGCAATTTGATTTTAATATATCTTTATGCATAGTATGTATGTTAAAATTAATATAATGTTTGTCTAAGTATAACTTTTAGACGTTTATGCAATAAATGCTAAAATAATAATAAAATGCATAAATCTACAGTTTGTAATCACTTTCAAACACTTCTCTTCCACATCCTCTTCACACTTCTCTTCAGCCTCAGGATGTTTACGCGATGATTTTGAAATTTGAAGATCAAAGCATTCTCTTGCACAGCTTCTGCACCTTTCATCTGTCTCGAACCATCTCAGATTTAACTCTGGCAATTATTACAAAATTGTCAAAAAAAAAAAAAAATTCTGGAATAAAACATGCAGGCTATACGACACTGGATTAAAACACTTCTATAAGACGGCGTGTTTAATTATGCAAGTGTTCTGGCCTAAAAAAAGAAATCTGTTTTGACGTGAGAAGCACTGCAATCTGTCTTTCAAGTTCATTATTAAAAGAAAACGACAATGAATACGAAGAGCGGATAATAGCTTCGAGTCTGGCGCCATCTATATGTGATGGTGACGAATAGCCTTTATTCTGAATCCTTTTTGCATTTCTGCCACTCACCTGTCTTATTACATTGTTCTTCAGTTTAAGACAACAAACAATGATAAACAAAACGGTAAAATAAGCACAATCTCCTAAAGGAACCATGTCTGTCTTAGTTTTAGAAACATTCTCGAGACATAAAGAAGTGATTCTCAGATCTGGGGAACCAACAATCTGCACATTGCTTTTCCTATTTAACACACCTGATTCAGGTTGTGTCAGATAACTAAGGCATACAATTTGTCTCCACCATAAAAAACCTTTTGTGCAGTTCAAAGCTTGGATGTTAAAACTTTCTTCAAAGATTAATTTATTCCAATAATAATAATAATAATAAAAAAACATAAGGTTGCTTAAACCTGCGATTTACACTTAAATGTTGAAGGAAAACCTGTATTTATGACAATTAGCCTATATTGTACCCTTGGATGAACACAGATATCATATTCAAAATGCATTACACAATTGTAATCATTATAAAAAAGGGTGTTGTAATTTATCTAAATGCATTACTGTTAAATCTGCATCTTTTACTTCTGATTCTGAACTGCCCATTTTTGATTACCATTAAATAAAATAACTTGTATAGACATTTTAAACACTATTTTAGTTTTCAAAGCATCAGGGAAATTAATAAGATGTGATGTCCTTTTTGAAGAGCACAAGCCAGAATGCAATATAGATCAGAAGAGCACCCTTTATTAATATTTTAATCTTAATAACCCATCTACATGCCTGTAATTTGATAGCTTATGAAAAAAATGTAGTCCTATTTCAAAAGCATGGAAGTACAAGAATTCATTTTGAACTGATCTGATACAGAGAAAAAGTGATGGTCATTTTCCTATGATAAATTAATTAAACCTGTAGGCAATAAAATGTATATTTTTAACATAAATTATATTAGCACTAGAGCGTTGCACTGATTTAACTTCAATCTGTGCAGTAATGAGCATTATTAGTGTTGTATTCATTAGATTGGTGAATTATGTTTATTACCTTATGTGCTGTGCCTGTGGATAAATCAGTGCTTTGCAGTGGCAGGTTGGAATATTGAGGTTGTCCTTCTTAATTGAGATTTCTCCTTCACATGTTCTCCAATGATTGCCTGTTGCCTGGAAACACAAAGGCGACAATGTATTTTGGTGCTTATGTATAACTCACATAAGAACACCGTCTTATGGACACAGAGAAACCATTGCCGCTTTATATCAGGATGAAAAGAACAATATGAATAAGAAATGTGTAATTAAGTTGAGCTTGCCAGATTCATTCCTCATCTGGAAGGTTTCATTTGGTTATACAAATACTAGGGTTCCTGTTATATGGCTGGCAATAAATTGCACAAGTAACTTCACACATCCTGACATTTTTCAAGCTGCCACTCCACTGGAACAGCCACATTCATACATAAATAATGATGCATAAAAAGAAAGATGATAAAGTACCTCATTGAGACTTGAACGTGCTTACAATCATTTAATAAACATGCATGGTAACAAGAGATTAAAAACATGCAGATATGACATCTGAGGGATTTAAACAGCATTTTAATTATGCGCCTATTATCTTGCAAACAAAACTCATTATTTTTCAATTGTGTGACAATCAGTAACCAAAATTATTTGCTTTCATTATTTGCCTTTCAGCACCATTTACTACATAATATGACCGGCTCTGTAATTATATATCTGATTAATTGAAAACATCTCGCTTATGATAGTGCAGCGTATATTTCATAACGTATTACCTTACACGCAGTGTGCATGCAAGCAAGTTAAAATAATATTCAATAATTAATAGCAGGAAATTTTTATGCTTCTAATATCCGCCATTCTGTTTAAAGGCATCACAGCTTATTTAATGATACAGTTCTGAGGATGGAAAAAATGAAATGTGCATTTGAGTTATTTTCTTTGCTAATAATCAAAATTGAACACCAAATTTAGCTGCTCGTAAGGTTTAAGCTTGCACTATCTTTGCAAAATCGGCACAATGTTAAGTTTTTTCATTTTTAAAACTTTAGCAACTTAAAAAGTTGCAGAACTTACTCCAAAATGACAAAATAGCTGAAATTATGACAACTATCTTGTTCAAAAGCCCACACACATCCTTGGTTCACAGCATGATGTGTCTAACGCAAAAATGAATGGCTAGAAAAACAAAAACCTTACAGTACCTGGAGGCTTTTTCTAAGAAAAGTGGGAAGTAAACAAACTGAAGATGTCAAGATGAGTCACTGTTGCTTGATAAAGAAATAAACGAAAAAAAAAGAAAAAAAACATGGATTATAAACCTTACATATATTATTATCATTATTATTATTATTATTATTATTATTATTATTATTATTATTGTTATTATTATCATTATTATTATTATTGCTATTGTAATTGTTATTATTTTTTCAAAATGTCATGATTAACCAATTGTGCATAACGTTTGTATACATATGCTGCACAAAAATAAAAGAATTTATTAAAATTACCCCATTCAAGCATTTGAAAACAGAATGAAAACAGAATGTTCCATGGCCATCGTTTCCCAGGTTTTGCTCAATGTTCGGTTTTAGAATCTTCTGCATGTATATGATCTTTTTATAGACCGAGGACATCTGATGGACTCACACACAACTCTTCTAAATGGTGAAAACACTGATACTCAAGGAGTGCATTAAAAGCTGGGAGTAAAAGTGTAATGAACTGGATGTCCCAGGTGAATTACTTGTTTTTTGTTTGCTTTCCAGAAAAAATTGAGTTTACTAAAATTTTTCATTACTATTTTTTTTTTAAACGTGATCTTAAAAAAGTACATATCATCAGCTTGTTTAACGGCTCTCAATGCATCATGTTGAGCATTATTGAATGTTTTAACCTTTTCTAATAGCACCAGAATGATCCATGGCTATTGTTCTACAGGTTATGCTCAATCCTCGGTTTTAGAATCATCTGCATGTATGATATTTTTATAGATGAGACTGGCACTGAGAACATCTGATGGACTCACACACAACAATTACAAATGATGAAAACATTTTCTGATACTCAAGAAGTGCATTAAGATCTTAGGGTAGAAATTGAACTGAAGTATTGAACTAGATGTCCCAGCGGAATTACTTGTTTTTTTGCTTGTTGTTGAGTCATTACTGAATGAAAATAAATATTATCTTTAAAAAGTACACATCAACATCAACAGTTTAAACTAATGGCTCTTAATGCATCATGCTTTCACCTTTTCTAAAAAATTATATGAATCCTTTAGTTGCCTGCATTGTGACTTTTTTCCAGAAAAATGGTGGAGAGTTTTACTGGATACATCAGGACAATCAAGGGGCTCACAGATACATCAACTATAAAACAAAGTCATAGATCATTCAGGTAACAACATACAATACAAGGGCAAACCTTTGAACAAGGTCACCCTTAGAAATGTAATAAAAGGAAATTGTTAGGAAATTGGTGGTGTGGTTACAGATGTTCCATACACTTACTATAGTAGTTACAATGAATTATGCATAACTACATGTTATTAACCCTAAAGCTAATCCACATTCTAACCCCAACCATATAGTAAGTACATAACTTATTAATATTACTCAGAAGTTAAATGAATAGTTGCACTGTAACTACATCACCTTAAAATAAAGTGTCATTTTTTATATGACACATCTTTTATGCAAAATACATTATTTATACTGTAAGAAATGACAAAATGTATTTATGATTATTTAAATTATTACTTTAAGTTAATCAGGTTCCACGAAGTTTAAGTGAATATTTTAAGTGTGTTTGACTGATGTAGGTTGAGATGACTTAAAAAGTTAATTTGATTCAACTAAAAAATGTAGGCAGCAACATTCGTAGTGTAATGCAGAACTAAATAAAAGATTACCTGATATTATGTTCAAATCATTAATGCAGTTTTACTTTAACATTTTACAGTACATGCACTTAGCATGTGTGCATAGTGTACTAAGAAAGTACTAGCTTATATAAGGTAACTACACAGGTTAAGGTTGAGTTCAGGGGTATGATTTAGGGATAGTGCATAGCCAGTTCATGTAATGACTATAAACAGCGCATACTATGTGAAAGAGTATTGTAAAATAAAGGGCTAACATGACTATTTTGCCTCTTCTGCAAGGAGTGTGTGAGCATCTGAGCAGAAATGTATGCACACATTTATAAAATCAAATAGCATGAGTGATGTTTAAACATCATGACCTGTAGAAATGCAGGGAATATAACTAAAACTGACCACAGACTGATGCAGTGCATTAAAAGACAGCCAAAAGCACCAAAACTTCTTGGAAAGGAATACTTTTTTGTACATAACATGACTCAACAGTGCCATCCTGCTGCAGGAAATAAAAACCGCGCACTGACACGAGCCTGATCATGTCACTTCTCATGTGCCCATCCGGGTACTGCAGCTCCAACCTATCAGCTTTGAGAACAGCACACTACAGTCCTTAACCGTCTTCATGTGCTACCAATTCATAAAACGAAGCCTTGCTGTTTTTCCATATGCAAACATCAAGTAGTTCCTATGCACCCTATAATATTTCTAGTAATATATTTTTCATAAACACTAAAGTTTTAGCTTTGTAATTACATGCGTAATTACATGCATAATAACACAGAATAGATAAAGACTAATGTTTATACTAAATACGCAGTTAAATGCATTTATACTTGGTGTTTTAAGTTATCACACCAAAGAAACGTGACTGAGAATCAACAGCGTCACTCTGGGGCTTGACCAATCAGAGCGCGCTGCTCCGTGTGCGCAATCATCAAGGTGGAGTCAAGTTGACCGACTGGATTGCATGGCTGAAAGTGTATGGAACCTGCGCTTCTGGAAAAATATTTACAAGTGGACATAACATTGAAGGAAAACAAACAAGACACGCTGAATACTTCGTATGAGGCTTCTCTTCGTGCGGGATATTGGTTTATTTTGCGACAGCTGCCTGTAAAAGCTCATACGAGAGGTTTGAGCCAATATTAATATTTACATAATCGTGCTCATTCGGGCTCGCGCATCGTATAGACTTCAGCTGTAAGTCTACGCATTGACATTTTACGCATAACTCAAATCACAACTTTCTCTACATGCGAGATATAGTATATATACCGTGTTTTTCATTATTTTAAGTTATTCGGAAAAAACAAGTTATACAACAGGGAGGCGTACTTTGCGTTGCGCCTTGGTCCTAAAGCCGGTCGCGTATTCGTCTGTTGCGCGGGTATCCAGCGCGTGCCCCAATGCTTCATCTGAGGTCGTGTTCCAAATTATTAGACGTAATGATGGAAAGTGTTTTGTTGGAGCAAGGCTAACTATTTTCTCTCTCTCATTAAATCCAGAATAATTTGAACGTGCATATATAGTGATTTTGTAAGATTATTTGTCGTTTTTGTTTACGCATTTGAGAGCAGTTTCTTTTTTGGAGAGTGTTGTAGAATAACCCTTGCATACTAAAAGCTGGACTTTAGTGGAGTAATGGTGGTCAATACAGTCCACTGGTTCAGGAAGGGCTTGCGGCTCCACGACAATCCTTCACTCAGAGACTCTATTCTGGGAGCGCACAGTGTCCGCTGTGTGTACATCCTCGACCCCTGGTTCGCAGGATCCTCCAACGTCGGGATCAGCAGGTGGAGGTAAGGGATCGGATGACAAATATTTTGTATTTGCATTGAATGCATTGCAAGATCCGTTCTTGTCTAATTTATTATAATCAAAAATATTCACTTTTGATTTAGTCTATTGTACTCTTATCGTATAGTGCCATTCATTTTTGTTTCTATGGAGTGCTATTATTATTATTATAATTTTAAACCTCATAATGAATTTGAAATCTGTGTACTCTTTCACCCTCCGGATCTATTTTACCAAGGTTTTACTGCATTTGCCACTATTTATTGAAAATTGTAAAATATTGAGAAAAGCATTGAAATTTCAAATTGTGCATGAACCAGATAGATAGATAGATAGATAGATAGATAGATAGATAGATAGATAGATAGATAGATAGATAGATAGATAGATAGATAGATAGATATGAAATTGGAATATATTGTTGTATAGAATATATTGTTTTATGAAATGCATATGTAAAACATATAATCTGAAAATTGCATGTACTTATGGTATGATAGTAATCTTAAAACTGTCCTAAAAAAGTAAACAAACTTAACTTTTTTTTTGCATAAACTATTTGCATGCAAACTATTGCATTACTATTTTTAAAAAATAAAGAAAGAAAAAACTTTTTAATTTGCAGTGGTTCACCAACAGGTGTATGTATGGTAGTCATTAGTCAACATTTATATTTGACATTTTTCCACATCGCCTAAGACAAGAATGGATGTTGTTCAATAGTTTAAGGATAACTTTGAAAAAACTGTTTTGATTCGCCAAATATTGATTACGGCTTGTCAAAATAATGCAGTCCCAAAGGTGTGAGATATGGAGAAAAGACTAAATATTTTACAAGTTTATATACACCGATATAATAAATAATTTAATAGTATTGATAACTAAAAGGGCTCCATACTTACAAGAGGCAATAATTATGTGTAACATTGTTTCAAAAATGTTTCTAACCATGGAAATATCAACAAACAAATCAATTATTTGAGCAATAATTAAAAAAAAAAACTAATTTATTCAGTGTGTTCTGACATATTTGTAAATTTTTGTTTCATTTTGTATCATATTTTTTAAAATACATTTTTAAGTATCTTCTCTCTCTGAAACAGACCCAAATGCATCATGCGGATTAATCTACTATAATCTATTCTAGTCCATTCTATGAAGCAGAAAGCTGCAGCTACAATGTTCTATTCAATTACAGTGACATCACTGCAATGATGCAATGAGATCCAAGTGTTTGTTTCGTTTTTAAATCAAAATTTTTCATAAATTTGTTTCAGAAATAATACTATTCTTAGGATAAACTATTATTGAAAGCATATTAATAAAATGTTTTGGGGTTGTTTTATATGTTAATACACTTTTACATTGTATCTGTGTGTTTCTAACACTGGTTAATTGAGTGACTAATTACATCTCTGTGTCATATAATTGCATCAATGTATCTGAATTCCTAAAGGAAAATTAGTTATGTCTTGTAACCTGTTGAGTCTACTGACTGGTTGAGCAAGGTCCTATTGCCAGCTTGCAGCTTGTCCATCAATTGCTTGCAAGGCTATTTTGGTTTTCACAGAAATATCTTCTTTTGTTTATAAACTTTTTCTGACCCAATTTTAAAGTGAGGTGAATGGTAAGATAAAACTCAACTACCTAAAACTGTCCTTGAGTTGCTGTTGAAACATAGAAGTTTGTTTTTAAGAATCTGGCAAACTTTAGAAGCTGTATCTATTTTTTAACTTTCAAGAAAAGCTATTCACTATATATTTAAAGCATTTGCATATATGTAAAGATTAAACCAAAGCATTCATTACTGAATAGAGTCCTTACCTGCAAATGATATTACATAATGCAGACCCTTACATCAGTTTTCCACACCCATGCTTATTAGACGTTTCTAAAACTCTTCATTGGATAGTTAATCCATGAACAAACATTATGTCATTATCTACTCACCCTCTAAATAGATTCCATCGTTGAACACAAACATTTTGAAGAATGTTCCTGCTGCTCCATACAGTGAAAATAAATGGGAACTTGGAAATGTAGGCTGTAAACAAACAAAAATAGATATGATGATTAAATATCCATGTATTAATCTGATCAAGAGTGTGACCATGCATTTATGGTATCTAAAATGTTTTGAGCCCAGTTCAACCACTTCCAAAGGTAGTCAAAAATGCAACAGAATGGATTTATTTTGTAGTGTAAACACTCATATTGTCAAATGCATAATAAATATCACATTTTAAATGTCAAACGCAGAATAAATAAATTAATAATTTAAATGCCAAAGTGCTTTAAGAAAAGCACAACGCTCTACAATATGGTGTGTGTCTGTTTCTAGAATTGGGTGTTCACAACTTCACACACACACTCAAGGTGAGGTCTTTTGCTTGGTACAACAGGTGATCTGATTGTACTCTATGAGATGATGTAACAGCGCTTAGTGTCTTTCGCCTTCATCTGTCCTCTTCTGTCTCCATTGTGTTGGGAACAGAAATGGGTCAGTGTGTTACAGAGGGTAATCGCAATGACTACTACAAAATGCTTAGTAACGTGCTCAGCTTTGGTGACCTACTTTACTCAGAAGGCTATCACAATATGTTGTGGGATGCATCTAATTGCACCTACATTTGTAATATGTCATAATTTAAGAATCAATTCGCATTTTGGGATGTACTGTACTGTCTTTAAAGTGATAGTTCAGCCAAAAGTGAACATAGTCTCACTATTTACTTGCCCTAAAGTGATTCCAAACCATTATAAGGTTCTTTTATTGTGTTAAATGCCAAAGAAGATTTTTTTTAAGAAAGCTGAAAACCTTTAACCATTGTAGGAAAAACAAATAGTATATGGAAGGCAATGGTTACTGGTTTCCAGTCGTTTTTTTTCCTAAATATATTCTTTAGTGTTCAACAAAACAAGCAAAGTCAAACAGGTTTGGATCAAGTGAAAGGTGAGTCAGGATTTTTGGTTTTGGGAGAACTATCCCTTTGAATACAGTATTTTAATATTTGATTATATGATTAATATGATTTGGTACATGAACTACTGTTATACTAAATTATATTTTAGTGCTTTCTGTAAATCCTATTTTGTTCTTGAAAAAAAAAAAAAAACATTTACAAGCTTTGACATGCTAACGAAAGTTATAATTAATAATTATGTATGGATTTTGTTTAATTGATTAGTCATTTTTTTGTATCATTAATTAGTTCTGCACATCTGTTGAACTGATTGTGAACTCGATAGTCGATACACTCCAATTTCGCATCTGAACCTGATGCACTATATTATCTCTGTGATCATCATAACAATGCTCCAGCTTGTCATATAACATGATACTGCCGCTTTCACCAATTGGGTTCTGTTTGTGTGTCACTGGGTCAGACGACTGGGAGAAAACTCTCGTTGATTCTGATCATACTGCAGCGTGTCAGTGACAAAGAAAGGGAGGCTACGGCTTAGACAGGGATTTACACATTATCACTGACTCCGTGCAAAGGACAAAGTTTCCTGTGAGGACAAGCAGAGAAGGCAAGATCGTACAGCTGCATGGAAAAAAAGAGACAGATGTTTTGGTGCTTCATGAGTCATTTGTAAACACTGAGATAAAGAATTGTGGTATTAATTGAGCTAGTCGTTTTTTGTCAGCCGTCCAAACACAGCTGCTATCATTGAAATGTGTTTGAGATTTTGTATTGTGCTCTGTATATCCTTACAGTTTGTATGGATTTTGAATTGTTTTAAACTCTGGACAGCCAGCTTTAATTTACTGTATTCATCCTGCTTTTGTTTTATAAGTTTATCAGAAGGCCATGAAGAATTATTTTAATATATTGTAGTCTAATTGTGATTGAATTAAATGTTTGACTGATCACTCAGTTGAACACTTGATTCCTGTTTTTTTAGATTTCTTTTGTTAGTGTACAGTCCAGGCATTGCACAAGTGGTTACAGTTTTTAAGTACAAAACAGAAATTTGCACATGCAGACTATAAACTAGAGTCTGCTCTGCAATATGACCCAGACTGGAATCCTCTAAATGCAGATTACATAACATTCTCTGTGTGATATCACCACCGTTTCAGTGAAAGTTTATTTGAGATCAAGATGAGTTTGGCCAGGATTTCTTGAAGTTGTCTGAGGGTTGAGGAAGGGTTAGCTTTGGGAGCTGCTGGAGTTTTTTTCTTACTCAGCACTTGAGGTTATGCGAGATCCTGCAGACAACAGAAACTGGGTTTCTAGGTCAGTAACACACTCCATCAGGACCAAGTGCTCTTCAGATGATGCTGCTTGCTATTTTTAAATATCCATTGGGTTTCCTGCACTACTTTTCAACAGATCTACAACAGAAAAAAAATGCTCAGAAAATTTTGCTAACAAATTTAGGGCATGTCACTGTTCTTTCAAATGAGTATATACACTAATGGGCAAATCTGGAGAAAATACTAAAGTCTTATTACTGACCCAATAGTATTGTAGAATTATAGATCAATTATTCAGTCATTAAATTATCAAATCAATCAATTATTGATTAGTTATGTTGCTCTAGAACGCACAACCATGCTTGGTTTTTCTAATTATAGTCACAATGTTTTCCATTAGACTTCAGTACAATACATGCTTCGGAAACATGTCTGCTTGCCGTAGATCTTTATTTGTGTAGGATTTGTGTATTATACATTTAAATGCTCTTCATAAGTTGTAAATTGTCAACCACAATTGTGATTAAGTGTTAAAAAGGTAGCTTTACATTGCAAAAAGCAAATGAATTTTATTTTAAATGATTTTTAAGGTGTTTTGGTGCCACTGTGCTTTAGTTTGACATAGACTGTAAGATTGTAGCTCTGAAAAAAAGAGTATCAGGTTTCATTTCAATTGACTAAAATGCTGCCAAGATAAAGCCTTTGAAATATTTTGGGTAGAATCTTATAAGTGTGTAACATAGCAGGCAAATCTCCAACACACTTAAAACACATAAAACTTTAAAAACCACTGTGAACGCATTACCAACTTTTGAAAATCAATGCACCAGCAACCACCCACAGTACTTGGAAGGGGAATATTTACCCAGGTATAGACCACTTAAAATTTTTTCAGCAAATGTAAGTAACTGCAGGTACCTATCTGGGGCTAGTAATCCCAATCATAGTCATAAATCTATATGTTAGTCATAAATTTACATGTTTGTTTAAAAGGTGATAGACTGAAAAGGAAATAATCAATGGATTTTTCTCCAGGTAACTGGTATTAAAACATTGAAAAGTATGCTGTTTTGTACAGCAATTAATAGTTTATTTTACACTTATGCAGCTGATGTCAGAAAAAGAGCAAACATTAGTCTATGAACTGAAAGTCAGTATGGCAGGAAGTCAATTAAATGGATTCTGGGTTATTGGAGTACATCTCTAGTATCATAAACAGAGTGCCTTTCGATGCATAAAAGGGCAGTAATCTGTTTTAATAGTGGCCTTGTACTGTACATAATAACCCATATCAATGTGTAGTTCGCATATTCTTTCAATGTAAGCAAAAGCTTTTTTGTAATCATGCAAATTGTGACTGAGGCATTTCATATTTCATATTCATTCTGTATTAAATGGAGTAATTATATTATAACACTGTGTTCTGCAAAATATGTATTAAGATGTCCTAAACCACAATTAATATGGTCCGTTCTAATGCAGAGTGTTTAAAAATTACAAATAATTTTCATGTAGCTTAAATTTAATACCCTAATTTATTATAATAATGGGTTAAAAATTGTGGAAAAGGTTGAGGTTTGCAATGCATTGAAGCTTCAGTGAATAATTGTCTACAATTATCACCATTATTCTGTGTGTGAATGGTAATGGTTATTGTCCCTAGTTAAATGCCTTGTCCTTTGAAATGTTTAACAAGGGCATTTATTTAAATTCTATTGCATGGCACTGCAACAGTTATAGAATGTGGACATGTCTTGATATATTTTGTGCGTGTTTTTTTTTTGTCAGTAAGAGGCTATAAATACATGTCATGTCTCTTGTTGCTCAGGTTTTTGCTGCAGTGTTTGGAAGACTTGGACGCCAGCCTCCGCAAACTCAATTCACGACTCTTTGTTATCCGTGGCCAACCCACCGATGTCTTCCCCAGGCTTTTCAAGGTCCGTCTAACAATTTGCACATTTTTATTGATTAGGAAAAGGTTGAAAAACATTTCTAATTTCGGAAAAATCCTGGATTAGATGGAACAGAATTGAGGAGCTCTTTAAACTCTTAGACTTAGACTCTGCTCTCTCCATCACCATTGTGTCTACAGATGAATATTTTACACTGCCTATAATGGTATGAAATTGTACTGTGTCCAGGAATGGAACATTAATCGTCTGTCCTACGAGTATGACTCAGAGCCATTTGGAAAGGAGAGAGATGCTGCTATCAAGAAGCTAGCCAATGAGGCAGGCGTGGAGGTGATAGTTCGCATCTCTCACACGCTCTACGATCTGGACAAGTACGTACTTCTAAATTCCTTCAACTGTGTTGGAACTTTTGCTCCAGGAATAACCTTTGTTATAAGTGACACTTTGATAAGCCCTGTTCTCATTGTTTGCTATTACTTGCTTACGTACTGTAAGTGTTTTAGTTCTTTCCTGAACCAGTATAAATGAAAACAATATATTTATTTAAGTAAGATATAATCCAATATTGCAACATATGGAAACAAAAGTCTCAGCTACTTCCAGTTCATGCAGACTTTAAGATAATGTTTGTAAAATGATTCATGCTAAAGTTCAGTGAAGTGACATTCGACATTAAAAATAAAAGGGAAAAATAACTCAATGTTGCTAAAAAAGTGGGCAGATGCAGATTTTACTCACTATTGGATGGATGTTTTTTAGGATCATCGAGCTGAATGGAGGTCAGTCTCCGCTCACGTATAAGCGCTTCCAGACCCTCATCAGCAGGATGGAGGCGGTGGAGACACCCGCAGAGACCATCACTGCAGAAGTCATGGGGCCGTGCACCACACCGCTTTCTGATGACCATGATGAGAAGTTTGGAGTTCCCTCTTTGGAAGAGCTCGGTCAGTCTGCTGTCTTTTAAAATGTATCTTAAGGCTAAAATGTGTAGCATTTACTTGTAGCATTATTACTCACCAAAACGTATGTATGCTTTTTCTGAAACAGGCTTCGACACAGAGGGCCTTTCCTCAGCTGTGTGGCCAGGAGGAGAAACAGAGGCCCTCACTCGCCTAGAGAGGCACCTGGAGAGGAAGGTTGGAGACATTCTATAATCATTTTTGTACAGCTGTAATATTAATAACATTGATATACCAATGCTAACTATAATTATATAATTAGGTCAAAAAGGCAACATATTACAATTAAGTGTTGTCTTTTTAAAAAATACATTTGCAAAATGTTATAATCAAATATATATTCATTTACATTCAAATTATACAAACTATATATATTATTTGCAAATTCTTTTTTTTAAAAACTCTGAAATTTAGTTTTGTTAATAACTTGACTTATTGGATCTGATGCTTTCAGGAATCTTCATTCATTGGGAGATTCAGAAAAAAAAAACATTTTAAAGAATATATATTTGTTAATTTAATTTAACAAACAGTGCAAGATATTTATATTCTTTAATAGTAATAATTTTCCACAATATATTTACTTCATTAACACTTTAAATGGTTTAACCTGTGCTTTAATAAAAAAATACTGCTTTATTGAGAATATAAGGCACAAACCTTTTAACAATCGTGTGTGTGCCATCCAAATAACTTTATTATGGTGATTTTTTTTCAGGCTTGGGTGGCCAACTTCGAGAGACCAAGAATGAATGCCAATTCGCTGTTGGCTAGTCCTACGGGCCTCAGCCCATATTTAAGATTCGGCTGCCTCTCCTGTCGACTCTTCTACTTCAAACTCACAGACCTCTACAGGAAGGTCAGAAAAGCTACTTAATAAATGATACTGCTAATTATATTACTAGTTTTGACTCCAGGAACATTTTTAAAGCTAGTTTACTGATCCCTTTTGTGTAATCAAATTATACTTTTCCCCCCATAGGTCAAAAAGAACAGCTCACCTCCTCTGTCCCTCTATGGCCAATTACTGTGGCGTGAATTCTTCTACACGGCTGCTACAAACAACCCACGCTTTGACAAAATGGAAGGGAACCCCATTTGCGTGCAGATCCCATGGGATAAAAACCCAGAGGCTTTGGCAAAGTGGGCTGAAGGCAGGACGGGTTTCCCCTGGATCGACGCCATCATGACCCAGCTGAGGCAAGAGGGCTGGATCCACCATCTGGCCCGACACGCAGTGGCCTGTTTCCTCACCCGTGGAGACCTGTGGATCAGCTGGGAGGAGGGCATGAAGGTATATATTGTGATTATTTTTGACGTTTTATTAATATTGCAGAGCTTCATTGGCAGCACTCACATGCATCTGTCTTCACAGGTGTTCGAGGAGCTGTTGTTGGATGCAGACTGGAGTGTGAACGCAGGAAGCTGGATGTGGCTGTCCTGCAGCTCCTTCTTCCAGCAGTTCTTCCACTGCTATTGCCCTGTGAGCTTCGGCCGCCGCACTGACCCCAACGGAGACTACATACGGTGAGTTCTGTCTCTGAAAGGAAAAAAAGCTTATTGTAATCATTGGATGGGAGCTCTTAAGTTTTGTTTACACATTATCTAAAACAGCATAGACTAATTGATTGAAAAAACTATTGCACAGATATATATATATATATATATATATATATATATATATATATATATATATATATATATATATATATATATATATATATATATATATATATATATATATCCAGAAAGACTTTCCAAGTGGTCTCTTTATTTTTTTATTTTATAACTAGACATTTCAAATTTAAGTTCCGCAAATTGCAAACGCAGTAGTTTAAACAATTCTGTTCTGATCTGGAAGAATTGTAGCAAACATTTTATGTTCATATATGTAAACCATTACATCCCTGATATTTAACTGTACATAATATGTAATATCTGTAATTGTTGTCTTTTAGGCGATATCTGCCAGTCTTAAGGGGTTTTCCTGCCAAGTATATCTATGACCCCTGGAATGCTCCAGAAAGCGTCCAGAAAGCAGCCAAATGTATAATTGGTGTCCACTACCCTATGCCCATGGTGCATCACGCTGAGGCAAGCCGCCTTAATATAGAGCGTATGAAACAGATCTACCAGCAGCTGTCTTGCTACCGAGGCCTGGGTAAGATGGAAAAAAAAAAGCTAAATTAAAATGCCACACTAAAGTTGTAATTGCTAAAACCATTTATCTAAAAAAATAAAATAAAATTTAAAACTGTTGTAAATGTTAACTTTACAAATCATATGCCTCCTAATAGTGAGAAAACATTAAGGTCATGTGTCTTTTAAAGGAATTTGCTGAAATTGAATAACTAAATTAGCTCTAAACAGGTTTATTCTGTTCTCTAACTAAATCTTTACTTCCTACAGGACTGCTGGCAATGGTGCCGTCCAACCCTAATGGAAATGGGGAGAATTCCACAAGCTTAATGGGTTTTAAAACTGGAGACATGACTAAGGAAGTCACTACACCTTCAGGTTTGCAAACAATCAAACATCCCTGAATTTAAAGCAATTAATGTCATAAATTATACAATTGTCAATTTATTATTTATTTATCTACAGTAAAGTCTTTATTGTTGTTTTAAGAATGTCTGAGCTGACATTAATTACTTTGCTTAAACAAAAACACACATTCATTCCAAAGGCATTGGGAAAAGTTCTAAGAACCAGCTATTTTAAGGCAAAAATAAATAAATTAACAAATTACTCAATGAATCCCTCATTAAGACATAGATTTTCTGCTACCTTTGGTGTTATTTATTCATCTACGACAGACCTAAAGTTGCAATATCACTTTCTTATCAGTATTGCACACCCTTAATATGCAGATAAATATATATGCAAAACAGTCTACCATATCTTACTGTCTTGAATTCATCCAGGGTATCAGATGCCGCCCACCTCTCAAGGAGAATGGCATGGCAGGACAATGGTTTACTCACAAGGAGACCAACAAACAAGCAGCATCATGACTTCACAAGGTACAAACACTTTGCCGACAACATGTCAATATCTATTATCTGCAATTAGCAACTGCAGGAAATAGATTAATCATCTGTCATTAAAACCCATTAACATTATATCGTGATACATATATTTTTATCTCACAGGTTTTGGCAACAATGGAAGCACAATGTGCTACAGGCAAGACGCACAGCAGATAACAGGTAAAGAGCTGCACATTTAACCAGAGAAAAGTGTAATGTCATACAGATGTTGCAGTTAGTGCTATAATCTTTAAATGTTATTTTCAGGACGAGGCTTACACAGCAGCATCATCCAGACCTCTGGAAAACGACACAGCGAGGAGTCTGGTCCTACCACTGTCTCAAAAGTCCAGAGGCAGTGCAGCTCCTAAACATCAGGTCATTCACAAAATGCATGTGCAAAAGACTATATATATAATTTAAATTAAGTTTAGTAAAGTAATTTTAATATTCATGGGAATCACATTGCATGCAAATAAAGTGTCTAACTTAATATATTTGATTGCATTTAAAGTTATGAAGAAAAATCTTGGCTGACAAATGGGTACAGCCTAAAATACAGATTTAAAATTACAGTTCAGGAGTATTTTTAAAGTATGCCTGATTAAATGTAAATATATATATATATTATTTTGATTTTAGTTAACAGATTTAAATGATTTCTTATAAAATAATTAATCAGTTTAGCCTTCAAATTGCACTTTAAGCTGAATAGACCCTTTTCACAATGACCTTACTGCACTTCACTCTATAGGCAACGCAGTGTATTTTTAGTTCCGGTTTACCTTTGAATGAATGGGAGACTTCTCTGAAAAATTGACAACTGAAAACATTAACATTGCACATTGTGAGTTAACTCTGTTAAAGTATTGGACATGTGTCTAAATGATTCTCTTTCAATACTGGACTGCTTTCTGAGCTTGAAAATGATAGTTTAAATTATTAAGAATAGGAATAAGGTATTGTTTATCAAGAAAATAATATGTTTTTAACCTTTTCACTTATTAATTAAGTTTATTTGCTCAATAACAGATTTATTTTTTTTCTTTGATGCTGCTATGACTATAAATGCATATTAGTTATTATGTGAATGTTTCAGCATGAGTAACACTCATTATTAAGTTTTCTCATATTATCTTGTAAGTATTTCATCTTTAAATGCAATCAGTTTCCTTTATTATTTTAATTATTGATCATCATTTATTATTTACTGATCCATTATTATTTTTTTGTTTATTTTAGACTGCTGCCACCTACTGGGTGGGTTTAATTTAATATCTCTATACCTTTACCCTAATTAATAATAAGTTACAAAATTATATAATTAAAGTGCAGTCTTCTTATTGTTAGAAAACAGCCGTAGTGACCATCTAACATTATTTTTAGTTAATAAACAGCTGACTAGGTGAATTCTTTATGAGGAGTTCTGTGTAGACGGAGGTAAAGATACACTGCACGGAGTGAAACCAGACATCATGCGACGTCATGTGAAAAGGGTCAAGTACCTTGCAAAAAACAAGTGATATATTATGCACTGTTATAATGGAAAAAGACAAAAAAATTGTTATTAGAAATTTGTTATTAAAAATATTATGTTGAAAAATGTGTTGCAAATATATATTCTCTCCATTAAACAGAACTTTAAATATTTTAAATATTATATTTTTAGGGTATTTTTAAAATGAGCTTTTTGTTAATTTTTGTTTCTGTGTTTCTGTCGTATTCTTTTACTTTATGAAGTTTCATTTATGTTTTTTGTGTGTTTTTCAGAAAGGGCCAGCACTACTTCGCAGAGGCCTGATTTTATTTGTTCGCACCTTTTCCCGAGTTGTTACATTTTGCATTTTTATGGAGGAAACCAAAATTCCATTGACGGGAGCATTTCAAGGGAGTGCATGATTATCTCTATAAGCACATCAACACATAACACTTCAAAACAATCAGACTGCACATTATCCCAGGGACTTCACCCAAGCGGTCACCAACATCCTAACAACATTGCAATTATGTTGCGGCTCTGTGATCTGCACAGCTGCAATGTTCTGTCAACGTTGCGTTCATGTTTGGACTGGTTGGGACTAAATTTTTGTTGTGTATATAAGGATTTGACAAATATTCACATACAAAATGTACATATTTAATATTGTATGTGCTTTCTCTTTTTCATGTAGTCATAGACCCATTGATATATTTTTGATATAAAGGATCATTGTGGATCGACTCTTCTTTATGAAAACATGAAATTGAACCTTTTAAAGCATTTGTAGACTGTGTATACTGAGCCTGTCCACGGGCTGCTTGCTTGCACTATGTTTTTTTGATCTCTCATTTGCTTGCTCGTCCTCAAGTCTGTCTCTATCACAGCTGTACATGATCTCTCGGTTGCCAGACTGACATCTGTCTCGTACACCTATTCAGTCCCTGTTTACTCCCACTCTTTATCTGGGTGTCTTTCCATTGCTGTAAAGTGTATGAAACTATAATTCACCATTGTGTTTCTCATCCTTTCACATTGTGCTTGTTTAATAAAGTGTAAATGTACATGTTGTCTTGTTCATTTACTTACAGGATAATTTTCTGTCACATTGAAGCTTTTCAATGACAAATGGCAGTTCGGGTTATGACCTGTAACAGAAATAAACAAGGTCAAGATCATTTAAGTGGGTATTTGGCGTTAGCTTCAGTGTACTTGATGCAAGTAGCTATGAACATGCTAACTAAAGTGACCAAAATACTGGTTATAAATACTGGTAATAGTTTTTGAGCATTATGTATTGCTTTACAAATCAAATATAAGACTTAGGTTTCAGACAAATAACACTTAAATTGTTTGGCACGCGAAAACATTTCTAACGTTCCCATTTGCAGGGTAACATAGTAACTTAAGCTAAACTTTTTGAATTCGGTATAAACGCAGCTTGTATCACATATTATACTTAAAATTGTAAGTCTGCTTCATGAAATGTTGGTAATTTCACTGTATCCCTGTGCAAAACACAATAGGAAAGTGTCAAAACAAACGAGCAAATGTTTGTATACATTACCATCCATCCTCAGCAGGGAATTGACCACGCCCCCACGTTACGTAACAACTGACGTCTACTATATAATCTTCATCTTTTTTTAAAACAAAAAGACTGAATATGAATTATTAAATTATGTTTAAATTTAGCACATAAATAAACCATAAACAGCTGAGCGGTCGAGGCTGTTACCACCTTTCATGTTATAAAATCCATTACGTAACGGATGGCAGGACATTTCCCCGACCTTAATTTAGTCATTTTAATAATTCCTAATTTAACTCGTCTGATATGAAGCAGACTCATTTAAAGTAGTGGTATCGTGTCAAATAAACTCTTATGGAATAAAAGAACGACGTAAATGTATGTGTCGCCGATTCATAACTTCTCCACAAGATGGCGGACTTGACCAGGGCTTGACTAAATGCATATACATTTGGTAACAATTTTGTTACTAATTTACGCAACTGTGGTCTTTGGTGATTCAGGAAATAATAAAAATTAAAGATATCGACCAAAAAGTCAAAAAGACATAACTTACAAACAAGGGGAACCAACGTCTACATCTTGAACGGTCTAAAGGTGAGTTTATCAACCAAAATTTTTACTTTATGGAAAAATAATGGTATCAATTCGTTATTGTCTAATATTTGTGAGGAAAATAGTTTTTCTACACTTTCATACAGCTCGACAGTATAGACACTTTGTGTGTTTTGATGCTTCTTCTTCAGATAAAACTGCTGCTGAGCCTACCTGTAAGTCAGAAACAAAATAATTGTGGGTAACGTTAACGTTACGCTTATTTCTTTGTGAATACAAACCATAACCGTGGCAACAAAACATCCTGTCAGGACGGTGTTAAAATGTCTCCTTCGAGCCGGATTCGAACCAGCGACCTAAGGATTTCAGTGATAAACCGCTACAGTCCTCCGCTCTACCAACTGAGCTATCGAAGGGACACGTCACAGACGACAGTTGGAAAATTTTAATGACGCAATGTGCACTCATCATGTAATCCTCAACATGTGTTTTACTGTTTACGGCAATAAATATTTTAGTTAAACTATAGCTAGCGTTAATAAACCGAAAGCCTTGCATATTTAAAGATAATAGCTTAACGTTCACTTCCGTTCTAAAATAGCATGGGTAAAACACTGCTGCAGGTTAACAGGGTACAAATAGCCTAACTAATGTTAAGAGTTATCATCACTTATTACAATACTTACCATGCTGATTTATGACATTTTGTTAAAATGTTTATTACAAGTTTTCTATAAATGCTCACATATATGGCATCGTTTATAAATACATTAATAAATACATTTCTGCCAAAATATTAAAGCATTCCATGTAGTCAGGTTCAAAATCTTTGTTTCAAAGGATTTTTATAGTTTTTATATCTCTTTTTATTAATCCACAATGAAAAATTTCCAAACAGACTGGATCCAGAAACAAAAGGCTGTATATGTTGTGTATAACCAGTCAAATTAAATATAAACACGTCTCTCAGTGAAAACGTTCAGAATATGATATATAAGATAAGAATAAAGTTATGGTTTTGATGTTTGTGAGAGCAGGACAGAACACAAACCTCAAAAACATGCCTCTTTTTTTACTTAGCAGATTGACATTTTTGGTAACATATGTTGTATTACTAGTCTTCTAAAACGACTTTACATATGCTCATAGCATTGTTTAATAAGATATATATCAATTTGCATAAATTTCTAAGACACAAACATCTAAGAATTCAATGTAGTCAGGTTCAAAATCTTTGTTTCAAAGGTTTTTATAGTTTTTATATCAATTTTTATCATTCCATAATTCAGAAAGTTCTGCTAACAGACTGGAAAACATACATATATCAGTGAAATATTTATGAACAAATATATTTTTCCAAACAGACTGGACAGAAACAAAATGATGTGTATATGTTGTGTAAAACCAGTCAAATTAATTATAAACACATCCCTCAATGAAAACATTCAGAATATGATTTATAAGATAAGAAAAAAGTTATAGATTTGGTGTATGTGAGAGCAGGACAGAACAAAAACCCCAAAAACATGGCTTTAATTATTATTTTTTTACTTACTTAGCTGATTGACATTTTTGGTAACATGTTGTGTTACCAGTCTTCTAAAATGACTTTACATATGCTCATATATAGCATTGTTTAATAATCAATTTGCATACATTTCTGGCACACACATCCAAGAATTCCATGAAGTCAGGTTCAAAATCTTTGTTTTAAAGGCTTTTATAGTTTTTATATCTATTTTTATCACTCCATAATTCAGAAAGTTCTGCAAACAGACTGGAAAACATACAATTTTGTGGAGCTATATATCAGTGAAATATTTATGAACAAATATTTTTTTCCAAACAGACTGGACAGAAACAAAATGATATATATATGTTGTGTAAAACCAGTCAAATGAAGTATGAACACATCCCCCAGTGAAAACATTCAGAACATGATATATAAGATAAAATTAAAGTTATGTTTTGGTGTATGTGATTGCTGTTGAAGAGCAGGACAAAACAAAAACACCAAAAACATGCCTTTATTGTGTGTTTTTTTTAACTTACCTAGCTGATTGACATTTTTGGTAGCATATGTTGTATTACAAGTTTTCTAAAATGTAATGTTTACATATGCTCATATATGGCATTGTTTAATAATATACACAATAATGTGCATACATTTCTGGCACAAATATTCCATGTAGTTTGCTTTAAAATTCTTGTTTTAAAGGTTTTATATCTCTTTTTTCATCACTCCATAATTTAGAAAGTTCAGCACAGACTGGAAAACATAGTTTCGTATAGCTATATATCAGTGAAATATTTATGAACATATCCCTCAATGAAAACATTCAGAATATATATCTGATATATAAGATAAGAAGTTATAGTTTTGAAGTACGTGAGTGCAGGACAAAACACAAACTTTATAAATTTATAAAAAACAAAAACACGCCTTTATAAATTAGTTTTGTAAATGAAATATACAGACACTCATCATAAAAACAGAGTAATTAAAATCCTTTCATTAGACTATATAGGGAACGTATAACAAAACACTTTACATAAAAAAAATCACAGTGACGGGAATATGCTACTGTAACTGTTATTTAGGGAACTTGTCAATCTTCACAAACACCGGCCTCCTATTGATAGACGCAGCTGTCTCTTGCTGCGTCTGTCCAATCAGGATTCTGATTTAAATAAGACCACCAGCTGTCACTCACAAATACCATACTGGCAGGTTGAATCCCCCCTCGGTACAAGGACAAAGTGGGCCCGTAAAGACTATTTATAATCAAACAAGGGAGATAATTATCCTTCATACTTGAGGTATCACTCATGTAGTTTAATATTAAAAAGGAAATTAGAAAAGGATATGAGAGTGGATCATAATGATTGTGTTTACCCTAAAATATTCATGATATCAGTGTACAGTGATGTGACAGTAAAACTAACAGTAATGACAAGTTGTAATAAGTATCCACAGATACACAGTCCTGCTTGTTTCAGGATAATAAAGCAGTGATAGATTCAAAAAAGTCACTGTGTACATTAAATATCTTAAAATACTATATTTTACAAAAATAAAATATACTATAATATAATATAATTTAATATAATATAATTCTATATAATATAATGTAATGTAATATAATATAATGTAATATGTAATATAATATAATGTAATATAATATATAATAAAATATAATGTAATATAATATATTATATTATAATATAATAAAAATGTAGTAATTATTTAATTTTGCTGATTTATTTTTCTCATTATATTAAGGTATTAAGGCTAGTAACATTTTAGTCACACTTTACTATAAGGTTTCACTATTTAATTTGTTTACTAACATAAACTAATAATGAAAATACTTGTACAGCATTTATTAATAACCATAGTTCAACATTTACTATCATGTATCATTAAAATCCAAACTAACAACATTTTGTTTCTATTAACTAATGTTAACAAAGAGCAATACTGTAATTAATGTATTAGTGAATACAGTAACTAACATTAACTAATACAACCTTATTGTAAAGTGTTACCTACATTTCTTCATAATTAAAAAAATATTATATAATTATATATATATATATATATAATGTTAAAACATTAGTTTTAGTAACATTAGTATAACATTAGTATAATTAGTAACATTAGTATAATGTTAAAACATTAGTTTTGCATTAAATAAAATAACAAGAAGCCTTTTTCAGTTTGCAATTTTTTCCCATTTTTTTAATGAATTGAAAATTTAAAAGGGCAGCACTTTTTCCACAGACTTTTTTGAAATACGTATTTAAAGGCATTTTCCCATATCAAACATAAAGACTGGCATGACACAATGTTTATATTCCCAAGAGTCTTGTTTCCAAGATTCCAGTGGCCAAAAGTCAGTCATGCTGAAATGTTCATACACGAACAGTTGCGCAGACGCCGCTGAACACTTGTTTGCCTTTGTCTGTTATCTCTCTGTCTACAACTATCCATTCACATTGTCTCAGGGGTTCGCTACTCTGAAAAAAACCAGAATTAATCAAGCTTAAATAGGCAAAACATTATTTATATTCAAAACAATGGACTGAATGAACTACTAATGCTAGACAATGATATCAGCACCTAAATATTGCTGTTTAATCAAACACAATGTGAAACAGGATCCCAACCAAAGCACAAGTATGCAGTTTCGTTTGGATCCTGTGCATCTGTTTTGAGTCTGAAATAGGCTTCTCTTCACACCACAAAGGTTTTAGGGTGGGACAGGCGGGGGGTTAGAGGTCAGGGTCTAGGTATAGGACAAGACAAGGCCCTGCACAGAAAAAAATAGATCCTAGGTGCATCTGCTCAAAAAGCTTAACGTCACACGAGGAGGGTGTCGACTATAAAACCACCAAGCATCCATGGAAAACATCTCAGTCTTTGCCACCAGCTGCAGTGTTCCTCAGTCATCCTCTCTTCTCTAAACCCTCAGAAGTAGCACCATGTGCGACACCGAAGAGTTTGTGGCAGAGTTCGAGGAGGAGGTGAAGGAGCAGGAAGCTGAGGAAGAGGAGGAAGCTGAGGAAGAGGTTAAAGAAGAGGCTGAGGAGAAAGAAGAAGTTGAGGAAGAACAAGAAGAAGCTGAGGAAGGAGACGAACCTGAAGAGACACATCAAGAAGAAGCAGACGATGAGCATGAAGCTGAAGAAGACACCAAACCCAAACCCAAGATGTTTGTTCCCAACATTATACCACCAAAGCTGCCTGACGGGGAGAAGGTGGACTTTGATGACCTCCACCGGAAGCGTGTGGAGAAGGATTTTAATGAACTGCAAAGCCTGATTAACCTGCACTTCACCACCAGGCAGAAGGAGGAGGATGAGCTGGTAGCGTTGAAGAACCGAATTGAACGTCGTCGGACCGACCGTGCTGATCAGCAACGGATCAGAACTGAGCGAGACCGTGAAAGACAAGCACGCCTCGCTGAAGAACGAGCCCGTCGTGAAGAGGAGGCCGCCAAATTGCGTGCCGAGGAAGATGCCAGGAAAAAGAAGATCCTTTCCAACAAGGGCTACGGCGGCTTCCTGCAGAAGGTGGATCAGAAGAAAGGAAAGAAGCTGACCGAACGTGAGAAGAAGACCAAATGTCTGCTAGAGCGTCGCAAGCCACTGAACATCGATCATCTCAACCAGGAGAAGCTGGGAGAGAAAGCTCTCGACCTGTGGAAGTGGCTCAATCAGCTCCACGCTGAGAAGTTTGAGTTGGGAGAGAAGCTAAAGTCGCAGAAGTATGAGATCAAGGTTTTGCGGAATCGAGTAAGTGACCATCAAAAGGGAACCAAGGTTGCGAAAACCACCAGGAAGTCCTGGAAGTAAATTAATCAGATTAATACACAAAACAGAGCCAAAAAGTCTTGCTTTGAACTTTTCAAGGACAACATTTAACGTTTTCTGATTAATGTTTATTCATTTCTCATTGTGCTGTATGACTACTGTATGTGTCATTGGTTTTTATTGGGAATAATGTTTTGTCGCATGCAAGTCTCAAGCTCATTCTCTAAACATATGAAATGCTTTTATGTCTACAAGATTTACATTATGCAGAAATGCAGTTTATTTTCTAATATTTGAATGTATGACTTTTTTTCTTTCAACCTTTGCTTAATAATTGTATATTCATTTCACATTGTGCTGTATGACTTCTGTATGTGTAATCAATTTTTATTGGGAAAACCTATTGTTACATGCAAGTCATTCTGTAAACATTTTCAAAGCTTTTTTTGTTCACAAGATTTACATTATGCAGTAGAAATGCAGTTTATTTTCTATGATTTGACTGTGTGACTTTTTATTTATTTTATTTATTTATTTTATTTATTTATAAAGTGACAATGTACAACATGACATGTTGTGCCAGAGTTAGCTATAAAGCTAATTTACATCTGTAGTCCCTGGGCAGGAAGTAACAAATTTAACAGTTATAACAAATACAATGTACACTTACAGTACAATAAATACAACACATCGTCAATATAATGAAATCAAATCAATGGCTGCATATTTGATTTTGTTTTAGCCAAATTTTAAGAACAGTTTTAAAATTATTAAAAGTGCTGCTCTCTCTGACATACACTGGTATTTTATTTCCACTTTCTTTTTCTTTCAACCTTTGCTTATTAACACAAGTGCTGACAAATATATTGAATTAAAGCAGTGGTTTCATTTTAGAAATTATGCATTATGTATTGACATCACCAAGACCTCTTTCAAGACTGAAATCCACAAAATGTGTAAAAATAAATGAATCAATAAATAAATAAAAAAACAGAAAGAGAAATAAAAAGGTCTTTATTGTAACAAACTTAAGGCACATGTATATGTGTGTAACAGTGGCAATGTTTTAATAGATACTGGACTTACATGGTGTAAACTTACATAATGTAAAGTGTATATTCGCTTTATATCATAAAATGAGACGTTTATCTGGAAAAAATATTTGCATGCTACTACACAATTCCATGAACAGATATGTAACAAATGTGTAAATGATATCTTTTATCCATAAGACCCAGGCTCATGATTTTTTAACTATTTATAAACTAAAAGAATTTAAGTTTACAGCAGTTAGATATGCAATTATCGATATATAGGTAGGTATGCAATTACACTTACTGCAAAGTGTGTATAAAAAAATAAAATGATTTAGCAGAGTATTAAAAAAAAAATTGTCAAAACATTCGGGCATCTCATGCAAACAAGATATTTACACAGATTAAAAGCAAAACACAAAAAAGGTATTTAGGCTTGACCCGACTATAGGGCTCTGATTGCAAACCAATACGCGTTTCACTTAAGTTGCATATAACTGTATAATAATATTTGATTGTAAAGTAGATTCATAAGAAAATGCAACATCATTTGTGAGCTGACAGTTTAAAAGCACATATATCTACCATATACTGTATATAATTCACGCTAACAGTTCAAGTTTGAGGATTTAAGGACCACATGCTGCAATGATGAAGTGATTATTAGAATTATCAAGCCACTTTGGTTTTAAATTATGACCATTAAGGGAGATCTAGAGATCCCGGTTGTTACTGCTGATCAATTTGGGATATGATGTCCCAATGTAGCGCCCGAATCTGTACACCACAATCTCCAGCAGATACTCATCCACTTTCACCCTAACGTTGGTCATATGTTCCCCCGACAGAAGGAAGATGATGGTATAAAGAGCCACCTCAAACTCCGGGCTGACGCCAATGAAACAGCCTCCCACCGGTTTGACCAGACCATTCCAGCTAAACTGCAGATTTAAGACGTGATCATCCTCATCTGGCTGTGAGATTGGAAATGTAAACATTACAAGTCATGCACACAATGCTATATTAACTGATTAGATGAGTTTTCTTCTTAAATAAATATGCAAGGATTAAATACCGTGTCCTTTTTATCTCTGGCCTTATATCCTTTGTAGTCCACGATATTTTGCTTTTCCAGATTGTAAAACTGGATCCAGTTGTGGAGGCCCATGATCTCTCTACCATGCTTGGTTTCGCCGACAAACACATGCTCAAATCCACAGGAATCCTCACTGCATTTGGAGACAAGAGGCAGATAAATATAAACAGGTATGAGAAATAAGCATAAATGCTCAGCATATGAATGACACTTATTGTATGGAATCATATTGTATCTTTTATTTAATGCCATGTCAGCTTCATTGTGATCTACATGGAAAAAAAAAGCTATTTAGAATAATATAAATATAATAAATACATCAACATTGAAACAGACAGACAAACACAAGCTGTATTGCGTTCATATGAATGACACAAATTAGCACATTGAAACAATTGCAAGGTATTTTTAAGGGACAGTTCACACAAAAAAACAACGTTTGCTGTTAGGTTACTCACTGTTAAAAATCTTGCGTAAATATAATATATTGATTTGTTCATAGAATGCAAGTTAATTGCATGAGAGCAAAATCCTGGGCTTAGATTGGGTACCGTGGTATGGGCTAAGAAAAAAACACACAGGATGAGCAATTGAAAAGCAACATATCTGTTTTTTCAGATTTTACTTCGATTACACACAAAAGGTATTCTTCTATATCTTCTAATTTGGATCCTTTCGCTTAATTTTCTGTAGATAAATGTGGAAATTAAAATTTGCATGCAATTAATTGCTAAAGGACTTTGAGAGCCAAAAAGCATATTTAAAGATATACACAATTAATACCCATGATTTCTGATGATACATTGGGGTCCTATGAAGCCAAACAATCGGTCTACGCAAAGAAACTGAACATTATTACCTTTAATCCATTGCCTTAGCAAATAACATTTTTATTATTTTATTAATTATATTATTGTTATATTGTATTCTAGGCAATAATGTTGTAAGCAGAGTTCAGTTTCTTGCACATCTTGATCATTCTTCTTCATAAGAACTTAGTGTATAATCATGAGCAGAAGGTGTTCATTTTATTTAGTATGAATGTGTTTGTTTTGGACTCTGAAAACGTCATTAGTTGTTGTCTTGCATTTAATGAAAACCAAAGAACAACTATTTTAGGATAAAATACTTATTTAATGCAATTAAAGAAAAAGAAAAGTCATCTTTATGAACCTGTGGATCTCAGTTGAGAACATTAATAGCAAATAAAAATTTTTGGCTAAACAATCCCTTTTACATACCAACATAAACAAAATAATTTTATAACTTACGCTCCACTTTTGTCTCTGCGATAGAGCTTGAACCAGATGTCATAGAGCTGCCTCTTAAACTGAGCCATATCCGATTGGGCGCGACCTTTGCTTACTAAATACCTGTGGGCACACTGCATAAACAAAGCCTGTCAGATCAAGGCTGACAAATTATAATCTATCTCTTCAGCCATATGGTAATGTTTGCACAACATTTTTTGTAAGTATTTGCACAATGATGTATGCAATGTCTTTGTATATTGTTGCTAAATCAGTCTCCTCCTTAAACCAACACTACTGTATTAAGGCTCACTTGTCTCACACACCCATATACATCTACCATCATCTACATTTAATCAATATTAGTGCATTTCAATCTGTATTTCACCTTTTAATAAATAAGTAAATAAGAATAATATACATTTAAGTACAGCTAGACCAAGCAGTGCACTACAAATAATATATTGTATACATAGTATAAAAATAATAACAAATCTAATAATTAATGTTGTATATGGATTAAAGACAATATGTGGAGTGTTGGGTTACTTAAAGTAGTTATTGACATCACTAAAATGGTATTTAAAGTAATTTTCTAATTTCTTTGCCTGAAAAATATAATTGAAAGCAATGAAACTCATTTAACTTGTGCAGTCAGTCTGAAAAATGTAACCTTCTTTAGTTAAAATATTATTATTCTGCATAATATATTTGTATAACAATTACTCTGTCTTTCTGATTCTGAATTTTCTCAGAGAGAAATGTTGGATTTATTGACAGAATTTAATGCAAGTTTATTGTAAATAACTGTAACATATTACCTAAAGATAATTGCAGATCATTAATTTGATTACACTAAGTCTTTACTTTGTAACTAATTACACCAAACACTAGACATATTATTTTAGTGTCGGCATCAAGTAAAATTTACAAAGGCGATTCTAATCACATACTAAATGAAAGCAATATATCTACTTTAATTTTTTTCATTATTTACACCATTATTTTTCCTTTATTTATTTACCTTCCTTATTTTTAGTCAGAAAATATCTGTCTATCAAGTAACACTAAATGATAGACAACATGTTTCAAATTCTTTAAGTTGCTAAATTTCAACATGTTCAAACATGATGATAACAAACAGCCAAGAAAAAAACCTAGAAAGGCAGTTTGGCAAGTTTGACACCAATGCTGCAGGTTGTTTATATTTAGCCTGTGGGTGGATGCAAACTTTGTGCTACTTTAGTAAAACAAATGCACTGGTTTTAGTTTGAAAACCTGGCAACCCTAAAAAGCGCAAGCAAAATTGGATAAGGTACCTTCATGACCTCGGTCTTCAGAACAGCATCCAGAAAAAGGCTGTTCTCCTGAAGCTCCTCTTTTGTCACCTGCTCAGCGACTCCGGTTGACGTCTCATAATTATCCAGCAGAGTGATAAAGTCTGAAAAGACAGCATCGATCAAATAACGTTTTAAACACGTTTGTCATAAACTACACTTGATATGGGAATCTAATTCAATTACGGATGCAAATTAAAACATTCACTTAAATGCGTATTAATATAGAATGATCGATGGCTTCTTACAGGCGTAGGTATCAATGCTTTTGAGCTTGTTTTCATTGACATGAGAAAAGAGAGGAGCTCTAGCGCAATCCCTGGCACTATTGCTGCCCTCAGACACAAAGCCAGCCTTGCCCTGTGAAAACAAATGCACTGTATATGACCGATTCATAATAAATATTTTTAATCCGCTGCAATCACATGCTTGCTTATATTTATGTGTAATGATTGTCATAAACATACCTGTAGGTCGATTTTATAGTCTCGTCCAGGTTTCATTCGGTTCACGTCCAGCTTCCACAGTTCATTCAGCAGATTTGAGAGCTCCTGATTGGTGCATTGACTGCAATAGAAAAAGCTTGACATTAAGGCCCAATCCGAATTCTACCCCTTAGCCCACATGTGTCAAACTCAGTTCCAAAAGGGCCACAGCTCTGCACAGTTTAATTCCAACCCTAATTAAACACACTGGATCAAACTACTTGAGTCATTCAGGCTTGTTTGAAACCTACAGGTAAGTGTGTTGGAGCAGGGTTGGAACTAAACTGTGCAGGGCTTTGGCCCTCCAGGAATTGAGTTTGACACCCCTGCCTTAGCCCTTTCCCCTACCCCTCGTTTTGCGCGTTCGCGTCAAGGGGTAGGGATGTCCCAATTCTTTTTAGCTTGAAGGCATAGGGCTAACGGGAAGGGGTGAATACACCTTCAAACAAAGATTTAAATCCCACACTTAAATGTCTGGAATTAGACATACATACAATGTATGGCTGTATTTTTTATTGATATTTTCAGTGTAACTTGAGAAGTATCACTGTAAACGTATTGATCATAGACACATGATGTTGCATTTGTAAAAAGTGAATTTTTTGTGTTGGTTTCATACATGCAAACTACTACTACTACTTCTAATACCAATGCTAATGTAATCATAGTAATAATACAGTCACACGCAAAGTATCAATAATAATGATTTATTAAGATGCAACCATTTTTAAAACATTATTATTATTATTATTATTAGTAGTAGTAGTAGTAGTAATAGTATTAAATATAAAAATATGCTCCATGACATACCTGAAGATACCCACAAGCATGTAATCCAGTGTCATGACAGTAATGACAGACAGATCATATAATTTCTTAATTAAAGTGGTGCCCTAAAATACTAATGAATTGTCACTTTAAATCTTTTTACTTCACTGTCCTTTAAAGCTGTACATTTGTAGTTTTGTACATTTGTCAAGACGTTTTATGTCATTTAAAACCAGTGTTGTTTAAAAAGTAATACATTACAATTTTACGTCAACCAATCTCTTTAAAAAAAAAGTAAAAAACGAAAATTACAATAAAATAACATAGCACATTTATATTCATATTGCGTCCTTAAAAAGTAACTAACACATTTAGTTATGTTTTTTAAAGTGACTTCAGATTGTAATATATAACTTTTTCCCCCAACACTGTTTAAGACATTATAAAAATAGTATTTTTATTATTGTCTGCATAAGTAGGCCATATCTTGTACATAAATATAATAGATATGCAAAATGAAGAGTAAGAAATGTTACTCGAACATTGAAGTAAACATTACATTTTTGCAATTAAATTGAGCACAGATGCCAAAACAGGAAATTCTAAACAACACCGGAAACGTGTTAAATTCAGTCAAAACACGGTGATGTTTATTCGTGTTTAAATCTACATCGACGAACAAACAATAAATCTGAAGGGTAAGGCAAATGTAAAATGTATAAATTACGCATAAATCATTACAATGCGAGTTTTTCCGACTGGTGTATGACGTCACAAAAAGTTGCCAGGTGCTTTTCCTTTCACACACACATTAACGCATGTAACGGAGGAACAAAAGCGTGAAGATTTTAGCACGTTGTTCAATCAGGTAATAAAATGTTGTTTTAAATCTCGTTATTAGCCAAACCTTGTAAGCTGTTTCTGGAGAATTTGAATAAAACCGAATGTACAATGTGGCGTCGCCTTCACTTCAAACAGTTCACTTGCACAACAACAACTAAAACAAACAGGCCTGTGTAAAAACACACATTCACAACATCGTAGACATGCAAACAACATTTAAACATTATAAAGAGCAGAAGCGTTGTAAAGTTAGTCGAGTGAGCAGAAGCTGAATTTGGTGTTTATGTAAATAGATCAGTAAGTTTTATTCATTGCGCACCAGATGGTAAAGTTAAGCTAATTGTGCATGAAAAACAGAAACTTTCACCATAAATAAAACCGATCACATTAACAGTTTAGTAAAGGAAATATATACTATAGTCATAAGGATTTTGTAAAACATAATAAAGTAACATTAATAATCATCAACAGATAAACTTAAAATAAAATGGTAATCTAAAATAAGCGCAAAACGGAAAGACCGTTAAACATCAAATGGATTTATTTTTCTCACCCTTTGGCCATATTTGCAGGTTAATCCACTTCTCTAATTCAAAGAAACACGTTTAGTCATGCGATGATGACAAGTTGTGGTTTTGTTGGGTGTGTCAAAGAGCATGTGTGTGTTTACGCGATGATGAACTATTTGACGGATTGGCCAATCTGGCCAATGAGAGTGGCGAACTGGAACGCTTCTCAATCTGGATTGGTTGCTTTTTCTTAATAGGTGGGACATACGTTACCAATACATTAAAACAATGGTAGCATTGTGCTATTAACAGTACTACTGTGAATAAAAACGTTACTTATATATAATCGAAAACATTTTTGCATACATTTCTAGAACAAAATATAAACTTTAAATAAAGGCAAGTGCAAAATTCTTGTTATTTATTTATTTTTCTGACACAGAGGAAGGTTTTTACTGAGTGAATTTTGTACATCTTGTTATTCTATCTATCTATCTATCTATCTATCTATCTATCTATCTATCTATCTATCTATCTATCTATCTATCTATCTATCTATCTATCTATCTATCTATCTATCTATCTATCTATCTATCTATCTATATTATTATTATTATTATTATTATATTAAAATGCTGCAAAGGGGCCAAATTATTTTTTTCCTCAAGTTTTGTAGAATTGTAAAACTTTAATTTGATCAGTTACATTATGTATAAATCCATCCCCCTGTCAAAGCCTTGAGAATATAGACAAAACTAAGGTTTGGGCTATGTAAATGCTGATGATATGGAGATTTATGGCTAAGCACAATAATAAACAACAACTTAAAATCTCAAAACTCACATGGACTGACTGTCTGAAAAAAAAATTCTGTTAGCTTTCTTATTAAGAGCATTTCATAAACATCATCCATCCCTTATTCTGTGCTTTTTCACATGTCCTACGTAAGGGCACCTGTCTGCTCATTTCCATAGGTGCTCAAAAGCATTTTGCAAACACTCATTAATTTTGATGTTCTTTCCTTTTTTCCAGCAGAAATTGTGTGTGAGGCTCCTCCAGACACTTCATATTCAGTGATAATAAAGGTAAGTCTGCATTCCCATCTATTGAGAGTTTTTGTGGTTTTAAAATTCATTTGTTACCCTGCAGAATTATTCAAGTGAACTGCAAAAGGGGAAATAATAGTAGGGTCATGATTTCAGGTTAATCTGCAGGGATTATCAACTTAAAGTGAGATGTATTTCTATTTGTAGTATAGCATATTTCTAGTTTTTAATTAATTTTCATCCACAAAATGTTTAATTTATTTATTAATTTTATGCCAAGTAGCATATATGCCAACTCATGCAAATAAAACATACTCGGAAACAAAGACCAGAAGACTCTTGCAACTTCAAGCAGGATTTTTTGTTAAGAGCTAAAGAAGATTTAGGGGTACTCTGCTTACAGTAACACTCCATTTAGTTTATTTTCCTTTTTTACTTTTTAGCACATAATCTAAATGGTTTAACAGCAACACTTGTATCTATTTTATTGATATATTTATTTTTCTATCAAGAGTTTCGCAGCTGTGTACAGTGGCCAATATACATTTAAAATTGTAGTTATATTATAACTATAGTGTAATTTTCTTGACATTATAAGCATGGATATTTGATAAGTTAATAAGTTGATATTTGGTTTCTGTCTTGCCTTTTTTGTCTCCATTATATGTAAAATGAGCCAGGTCATAGTTTTACTGCTGCTCCTGTCACTTTTGATGTTGATTAAATCAGGATGGGTGAAACTTTAGAGTCTGGACAAGACCTGTTTATCTTCTTACTTCATTTGCATCCTTTGTTAAAGTTGTCTTGCCGATGCTGTTCCAAAACTCCGCTTTTGTTTAGAAATAGGTTCATTTTACAAGTCACCTACACTGTAAAACTAAACTCTAAATTAGCATTGCATCAACTTTTAATCTTGAAAAGTAGGAAAAGGTGAATTTTATTAATATTTTTAATAGTTTAAAGTGCCATATTGTCTAGGTTGGGGTTGTATAATACTGTACTTTGTAATAAGCTGCCAGCACATTTTTCTGTTTATTTACAAATCTTTTTTCATTATACATTATTTCTTATACATGATATTATTTAAAACTCCTAAATTCTGTTTTTGTAAAGCTGTAAATAAACGTGAAACAGTTTGTAAATCACAAAATACAGAAACTTTTAGTTAACAGATTTTTTGTACATAAAGTTAAATATAGGAGTTTTACCTTTTTTTGTATCCATTCAGCCGATCTCTGGGAACACTTTTAGCTTAGCTTAGCATAGATAATTGAATCGGATTAGACCATTAGCATTGTAAACACATTTCTAACTAGTATATATTTATTTCATTTCAGTTTTTGTAATTATAGTTTATCTATCAACAGAACATGTTCAGTGTCGACTTGAGCAGTTTAATGTCTGCAGAGCTTATATTAACTCTTGTGCAAACCTCTTAGTAATAAAAATAAAATATATGTTTGAACAGACACTGAATCCAAAATGGCTCTAATGGAGGTGAAACAAATAAAATAAAAATGAGGAAGATTAAGACAAAATTCTTCATGGGCTGCAGGACATCATAAAATCCAACATTGCAATTTTTTGTAATTCTGCGATATATTTTGCAGTATGAATACAAATTCACCTGATTACTTGTATGTATCATTTCAAAGTGCATAAATTATCATAAAATACTGCAAATATAGATAAATACAATAAAGAAAAAGATGCAAATTAAATACACACTGTTTTATTTTTTTCCAAGGAGGTTATCAGTATTCAGGTACAGAAATTGAATAATGAAAAGCAAAATAATACTGCTTAACCCTAAAATCTCATTTAAGTATTTAAAATTATATTATTAAAGATATTTTATTATTTTAATATTAATGATAAAGATTATATATTTAAAATTTTTCATTAAAGTTCCAAACAGTGCAATTTCAACGTTGCATATATTTTGAGATGTGACTATTGCAAATGATCACATTGCGATATCAATGCTGAATGATATATTGTGCAGCCCTATTGTGTATGTAGTCAAAAATGCCTAGTTTATCTTTTTTTGAGCAGATGTTTTATACATGATTTTGCACCACAAAATTTGTACTATAAATTCTGAAAACGATTAATTATTTTTGCCTATTATTATTTAATTTGAGTATTTTTTGTTAATTTCAGTTAGTATCATTATTGTGACTTTTTTATGTAACAAAAATGTTTTGTCTCTTTTACTAAAATAAACTTACTTTCATGAACCTTTAACTTAAAGGGATAGTTCAACAAGTGGAGGATGAGTAAATGATTACACAATTTTCATATTTGGGTGAATTAAATCGTGCTCAATTTGTATTTACCATGAAAAGTACCATGAAATGTGTCTGTTTCAAAAAGTATTGAATTACTAATCCAACATTGTTGTAGACCAAGATTTTGGTCTTGTTTAACTGAATGGGATTGAGTGTAGAAATGATAGTCTAGTGGTAAAATGCCTTGATGTGCAATGTGGAGTTGTTTCAGGAGACCTGGGATCTAGTCCCATTCTGGGCACATTTAGACTTTATGTCTTCACACTCTAAAATATTTAAATATTGTCAAACTTCTAAAGATATATTCCATAGCTTCATTTTATTGTTTTGTCTTTCAGGAAGGACTTTAGTACACAGCTTTTTATTTAGCTTTTTTTGTTCCTTAATATACCTTTTTGTAGGTTGTATCATTGCCAATTACCTCTTGAGGTAGCTGGCATCACCTTAAAGATCCGAGGAATTTCTTGTGTGCTTGTGTAGCTCAATCGGTAAAGCATGTGGTCTAGTGATGCAACTGGAGTGGGTTTGATTCTCGCTAAAGTTTTATTTATTTTTTTAGCAGATGCTTTTATTTAAAGCTTAAAACATCTTAAACATCATTAAAAAGTGGGCAAGCACTAGTGGACTTAGTATGAACCTGTATTTTAAGTTTGAAAAATGATTTTTTTTTAGTGACCTCTGGAAGCTTATTTACACCAATAACTGTATTAAATTAAATGAGTACCTCAATACTAATCTCCTTATAAGCACAACTGATTAGATAAGGTCATAAATTGTGGTGTTTTTTAATTTACATGCATAATGTCTGTTTATTTCTGTTTCTCTCTACAGAATGAAGCATGTGTTCAGATCATGCAGTCAACAGACGAAGAGCTCTGGAACGTTTGGATTGATCTTCATTGCAGTGATGGACATCAGCTGCGGACAGGTAAGACCTCTCGCTCGTTTTTGTGTTATGTGCTATCGGTTACCATCACTTCCTTTCTGGAGAGGTCACCTCTCTAGAAAGGAAGTGATGGTAACCGAAACGGGGAGAGAAGGGACGGGGGTCTGGATTTTTATAGAGCTAATTTTTTTTTTAGTAAAAAGTAGCATAACCCCTGCTGTACATGGCCCCGAAGGTCAGGGGAGGAACGTTTCATCCTCCCCCTTCATTCACGCCGACACTCACACATATCGCAGTGATCTGGCTGGGATTGAACCAGCGACCTCTTAACCCTTGAGGCAATGCTCAACCACTGAGCCACAGTCACATACCATATGGTGTGCTGGAACTTATATTTGACCTTTCATCTGCTCCGTAAAGTAGTTAAGTTCAAATGGATTCGAACCCTGGTCTCACTGATGAAAGCCCAATGCTTTACCAAGTGAGACACTGAGTCTGTTTTATGCTGTTGTTGGTTGCTTTGTCTCATGTTGTGTATATTTCTGCTAATGCTGCTAAGGAAAACTACCGACTGTGGTATTCAATCCTAAAACATTCTGATCTCAAGGTAAACGATTTTCTTCTACGCTATTGAGCTAGTGACATTCTGAGTTGTGTTTTTGTGTCTTGTATGTTTTCATTGTTAACATGCTATATTATCGGTAAGGAAGACCAGCAACTCTGGGATTCGATCACAAAAGTTTCGGATTAAAAGACAAATGATCAAGTTCTACGCCACTGGGCTGGAGACACTTTGTGTGGTGTTTTTGCGCTGTGTATGTTTTCATTGTTAACATGTTATATTATTGGTAAGGAAACCTGCGACTGGGATTCGATCACAAAAGTTTCTGATTTAAAGACAAACAATCATCTTTTGCACCACAGAGCTAGCGACATGTCGAGTTGTGTTTTTGCATTTTGTGTTTTAACATGTTATGTTACAGGTAAGGAAAACCTGCGACTGTGGGATTTGATCCCAAAACATGATTCCCTTCAAAGAACTTTCTGATTAAAAGGCAAATTTATAACTTCCATGCCACTGAGCTAGCGCTGCTTCTCAGGTGTGTTTTTGCATCTTGTATGTTTTCATTGTTAACATGTTATTGGAAAGAAAACCTGCCCTTGTGGTATTCAATCCTATAACTTCATCATTCACAGGTAAATGATTAAGTTCTACGCCACTGAGCTAGAGTGAGTTTAGAGCGTGTTTTTGTGCTTTGTATGTTTTCATTGTCAACGTTATGTTGTAGGTAATGAAAAACTGCAACTTTGGGATTCGACCCCTGAAGTCAAATGTTTTCAGAGAACTTTCTGATTCAAAGGCAAGAGACTAACGTCTTTGCCACTGAACTGGCGACGCAGAGAATTATGTTTTTGCATCTTGTATGTTTTCATTGCTAACATGTTATAGGAAAGAAAACTTGCCATGGAGGGATTCGATCCCATAACTTTTTGATTCATAGGCTAACAAATATACTTTGTGTTACTGTGCCAGTGCTGCTTTATTATGTTTTTGTGTGTAGTATATTTACATTTTCAACACAGGTGAAGAAAATCTAAACATTAGACTGAAAGAATCTAAAAGATTACATGAAGGGTCACAATCTTAGTGGCGTAAAATGATATTTGTTTGCCTTTGAATCAAAGTTTTGGGTTCTAATCCCACAGCCACATTTTATTTGTTCATTTATTTTCCGATACTTACATAGTATTGAGAGTGCTGACCACCTACAATCCCTGTCAGTACCAGGATTTGAACTTGTGATGTTTTGTGTCTTGGCGTCTTGTATATTTTCATTTTTAACATGTGACAGGAAAACTCACAATTGTGGGATTTGATCATAAAGCAACATTTTAAGGTGTGTTTTTTGATTGAAAGGCAAATGATCATTACATGCACCACTGAACTTACGACACTTCATAACAAGTGTCAGATTGTTGTATATGTTTCATTCCATAAGCCGCTGAGTTTGGAATGCTTCGTGATTTTTCAGTCTTGTTTGCATATATAAATTGTTTTTCGGTATACGGAAAACATGGATGTACACCCAAAACTTTCTGAGCTGAAGGCAAATGATTACCTGTGAAACTACAATGCTTGTGCATGTCATTTTGTTTTATGGTTTTGTATATTTGTATTGTTATGGGTAAGATTCAAACTTAAAGCCTCCAGATTTGAAAGCAAATGTTTTTTTCCCTCTGTACCACTGAGCTTGCGATGGTTATCTTCAAGAATTGTCAAGAACAATCATGAGGGTCATTAAGATATTTATTCATTCTTTACATTTCAAATGCAAACTTGTAAACAACAAAATCTGTTAATGCAAATCAGTTTACCAGAATTAGAAACACATCAACCAAGTTCATCAAACCTGTGCTGTAGAGCTTCATCAGCTGCTTCAGGTGTTTTCAATCAGGTTTTTAGTTTTTAACTAATTAAAAATAACAGGTACAGCACCCTCCTGCGGACAATACCACAAGAGGGAAGAGCTCCCTCTTGTGGACAAAAAGTGAATGTGAAAACAGCAGCTCCCTCCGGTGGACAATAAGTAAATGTGAAAACAGCTGCTCCATCTTATGGACAACAAGTAAATGTTAAAACAGCAGCTCCCTCTTGTGGACAATAAGTGAATGTAAAAACAGCAGCTCCCTCTTGTGGACAACAAGTAAATGTTAAAACAGCAGCTCCCTCTTGTGGACAATAAGTGAATGTAAAAACAGCAACTCCCTCTTGTGGACAACAAGTAAATGTTAAAACAGCAGCTCCCTCTTGTGGACACCAAGTAAATGTTAAAACAGCAGCTCCCTCTTGTGGACATTAAGTGAATGTAAAAACAGCAGCTCCCTCTTGTGGACAACAAGTAAATGTTAAAACAGCAGCTCCCTCTTGTGGACAATAAGTGAATGTTAAAACAGCAGCTCCCTCTTGTGGACAATAAGTGAATGTTAAAACAGCAGCTCCCTCTTGTGGACATTAAGTGAATGTTAAAACAGCAGCGCCCTCTTGTGGACAATAAGTGAATGTTAAAACAGCAGCTCCCTCTTGTGGACAATAAGTGAATGTTAAAACAGCAGCTCCCTCTTGTGGACATTAAGTGAATGTTAAAACAGCAGCTCCCTCTTGTGGACAATAAGTGAATGTGACTACAGCAGCTCCCTCCTGTGGACATTAAGTGAATGTGAATACAGCAGCTCCCTCTTGTGGACGATAACTTAATGTTAAAACAGCAGCTCCCTCTTGTGGATAATAAGTGAATGTGAAAACAGCAGTTGTGTCTGATCCTGAACATGTTGAGACACTGTCCACGTTCATCTTGCAGTAGAGCTCCTTTAGCTGCTTCAAGAGATTTCAACCAGGTTTTAAATTAAAAATTAAATTATTGAAATAACAGGCACAGCATCATCTTGTGGACAATAATACAAGAAGAAGGTAATAGTTCCCTCTTGTGGACAATAAGTGAATGTGAAAACAGCAGTTGTGTCTGATCCTGCTGTTTTCACATTCACTTATTGTCCACAAGAGGAAGCTGTTCAACTGATTTTGCATTAATTACTAGTTAAAAATAACTTTAGTTGTACTAAATTTAAACAACTAATATGTGACAAAACAACACAATTATAGATTAAATTTGTTGACTTTTTTGATGCTTCTTTTAATAGCCAGGGGGCCACAATGTGCTAGGGCAGTGGTTCTCAAACTGTGGTAGATGTACCACTAGTGTTACGCAGGTCACTTCTAGTGGTACGTGGAGGAATCCATGAGTAAATGAAAGAAAAAAATCAATACAATTTTAATAATTTGATGTGTGTGATAACACCAATGTGGTCAGCACTGTTTGTTCTCTAAAGCCTACGATCAAAGCACTGTGCTTAGAATGTTTACTTTAGTGCAATCAATCCAATTGGTGCAGAACTAAAGAAAGAGGTGCATGGTTCCTGCAGAGCAGATACACGCTAGATCAGTGGTCCACAACCCTCGGGCCACAGACCAGCACCGGTCTGTAGATCAATTGGTACTGGGCAGCAAAAAAAAAAAAAAATTATTATTTCTGTTCACTTCTTATCTGAGTCTGAATGATCATTTATTTTGAAATGGTTAAATGGTTTAAGATACCTTACCTTGTTATGTTTTACAGTATAGAAATATAAAGTCTTCTTTTTGCTCAGACAGTAGTAGGGGATGGCACAACTGATTAGCGTACTTTAAATGCATTTATGTTTTGTATAAAAGTCTTTAACCATTAAATAAACCATTAACTCACTCTGGATTAAGTTCACAGTACTTATTAGGGTTACTTTTTTTTAACTCAAATGGTTTGTTGCCATCGGTTTCCTCAAACAGTTTGAGTCACCTTAACATTTTGGGTTTTACAGTGAAACAAAACACAATTTTAACAGAACACTCAAGCTTTATTTAAGATAAATCTGTTTGCCTCATTTACACACTGCTGACCTCAATATTAAAAAAACTTGTAACATTTCTAAGCTGCTAATAATGATATAATCTGGGTTTGATTAGAGATATTGCTATAAAATCACATGAACATACTGTATTCACCAAACAGCAAAAACACAAGACCAGCACTACATACTGATGAAAATACTGATTTATCTCCACATTGTAAAACCATTTAATTTATCCATGCTAAGAATACATTTTACAATGAAAATCAGAGCAGCCTAAATACTTTATAGTGCACAAAGAAAAACTGTTCAAGATGTTATTTTACCATTACTTGTCTAAATTTCTCTGTAACACATCACATAATTGGCCAAACCCATGCAATTAGGGACTCTTTTCTCTCCATTCTCCACCCTCAATCCATTCAATCTAAACACATCTTACTGCAAAAAATAAAAAAAATCTTAACCATTCCATTTCCTGTTTACCAATCTTCCTCTTCCAGCGACATTGCCTTTCATATTTATTGCAGACTAATATTTATACTACTGTAAACATTTATTGAAGACTAGTAGATTATAGGTAAACTATCCCATTGTTTTTATTGTGGTTACAGCTGGTTGGTGTGTCTACAGTTTTGCACTAGTGTGTGTGCACACCTGATGGCTGTTTAATCAATTGGTTAATGTGTGCGCTCATTCGGAAGCCTTTGCTTTGAGATTGCAAGGAAATTACATTATGATACATTTCTGTGTCAAAAGCATCCAAGTGTGTTTAGAGTTTTTAAAATCACTGTGTGTAATGTTTTGCAAAAACTGTGAAGCTGACAATGTGCTTACAGTTGTGCAAATCTAGCCTAGTGTTTTGCTAATTGTGGAAAAGTTAAATTTTAGTAAGCAATCATTAAAAACTTTAAATTAAAAATGAAAGTTTTTCACTAATTAAAATAACAAGCACAGCAGCCTATTGTGGACAATACCACAAGAGGGAGACAGTATTACAAATATTCTCCATCCTCTAATGCAAATTATTATAAAGTCATTTGTCTGGCAGGCAGACAAAAGTATGGTTAGGGACGAAAACAAAACAAAAAATTCAATGGTATACTCTGGACTTTTTGTTTTGAAGTGTCAGTATATGATAGTTAATATGTCATTTTAATATCTTGTTTAATTTATAAGGCTTTGTAACATTTCATACAACAAATTTAGAAAATCAAAGCAATCAATTATTAAATTAAGCAATTAAATATTTTCATCACTCAATTTTAACTGCAACTTTATTCTATTTACAAGCTTTTTGCACTATGTGTGGCTTTATACTGTATGTTTTGCACTATATACTGTTTTGCATGTACACAACTCTGGTTTGCATTTCTTGCCATGTGCCCTTAAATGTAATTGTGTTGTTTACAATTTATTCTTATTTATCTTTTAGATTGTGTGTAATTGTATTTTCTTTTTAAAATTATACTATTTGTATTTATATGATCTGTTATGCATCTAGGGTCTGAGAGTACACAATTTTGATTCTCTACATATCCTGTACATGTGGTTAAATTGACAATAAAGCTGACTTTGACCAAACTGAAAATCGGTTTTGCTGGATTTAATATATGTTGGGTATATGCTTGAGCAAAATGTTATTGTTATTTGTTCAAAGTTTGTTAACTTTTCTTTTAATGATAAAATATTGTCTGTTTTGTTGTTTTCTTCAGAAATGGTGAGGATAACAAAATTGTCCATTTGTTGTATTTGAAAAACAGGGTTATTTCACCAATTTTGGATTTATTAACACTTGTTTTCACACAATATTCAGTCAATTAACATTTCCAAAATACTTTTAGTATTAAGTATTTAGTACAATAATTATATATATATATATATATATATATATATATATATATATATATATATATATATATATATATATATAAATAAAATAAACATATGACAAAGAAAACACAGTGAAATTTTTTTTCTTCCAAACTCTAAACATAGGGCAAAAGCTTTACACTATGTTTATACTCTTTTTTTTTTTTTTTTTGAGCGCAACAGCATTGAAAATATTGTTTTTTTTTTCCTTTCAATTTTTTTTCAATCTGACCTGGAGGTGGCAAGTTTGATTCTCCAGCACAGGATCAGATGTCCATCCTGGATGCAGCAGAGGCTTCAGGATCTTCTCAGACTGAAAAGGTAAATCTGGCATGCTAGTGTCTCCAAGAGACAATATAATGTGTGATGTCAACAAGAACATGAGGCAAGTCCTGAAGATCATACTGCTTACTGTGGAGCATTCTTTTATATTTTCCTTTTTATCCAACTAATTGTGTTGGTGTAATTATGGGAGAAAACTGTGGTTCTTTGGCTGTAATCATACCACCTATATCTGTGCTAGCACCTCAACCAACCAAATAACTGTATAATTTCTAGAAGAGAGAGAGAGAGAGAGAGTGCGTGTATAAAAAGTTTAATTGCAAAAACAAACAACCACTGTTTTCAGAGTTTCTCAGACATTTTTGTAAGAGGTTGTACTCTACAATACTCAAATGTAAGAAACAATTTTTGAAAATTACAAAAAAAAAATCTCCATGAATTTTATGCAATTGTACTTAGACGCACAAAAACAAACATGATATCTGATAAAAAAAAACGAAAAGCCGGGTTATGTTTTTGCAAAAAAAATTAAAAATCCAGTCATTTGTATGCATAAAGCTTATTCAATTTTATTATTGAAACTGTTCCTTCTGGACAAAAAACTAGTGCTAATGTTTTGACTGAATGACTGGATTTAGAATCAAGTTCTGATTCTAAACTGATCAAGTTTTGATATTGTAAAAAAAATAAATAAATAAAAAATAAAATTGTAATGTAGACTATCAAAATATGGTTTTGGACAGAAAATGTACTGTGTAATGTAGTTGTGTTGCTGTGTTCAGAGTTTAGAAAACCTACTTACAGTGTTGGTAAATGCTTGTTAGCAATTGAGAAAAACTGAGAATAAATGCCATTAGTACTCTTACTCAAACACAGAACTATAAAAAAAGTAATTCAGAGAAACTGAGAAGCATTGGTTCTTGCATATTTGATTGTCCATTTACCACTTTTAATGTGCATGAGGTGGAAGAAAAAAAAAAGCAAAAAATGTACCTAGTACTTCAGTTTGAATAAAACTGTATCGAGTAAAAAGCTTTTTTTTCTTCAGAAATGAACTCAAGTAAAAGTTGTTAGCTTGAACTATTACGGAGTATAAATCCTCTGTTATAATAATCAGGTAAAATTTTAAATTATATGAATCAAATTGCATAAAATTTAAATATTAATTGTAATATATTTAATTTAAATTTATTATCTTTTTATAATACAACTTTTCACTGTACAAATGAAATATTTTAGAATGTGGTCCCTCACTTGAGGATAATATTCGGGGTCTGTGGCATATCATTTGAGTGATCAATACCTCTGAACAGCTGGTTTAAGGTTAACGTTTATTAAAATAAGCCCCCTTAGTGTAAAGCTCTTTGAGAGTCCAGAAAAGCGCTAATAAATGTAAGGAATTATTATTATTATTATAAAACACATTGTTTGTCTTGTAGGTCTGAAGAAGATGGGGGCTGTTCTTTACACCTCACTTAAAGGAGATTGCAGATCCTGAAGACTTTTCTTTTGTGAACTGCAGGCTTTACATGGTCATGTGTCAAGAGTATTTAGCAATTTATTTGGTTACTTTTACGAGCACATTTTCTTTAGGCTAGTATTCAAGTTTCTTAAATCCTGTGGCATTAAGGCGTAACTGGCTATTTAAAAAAATTTGCATAAAAAGCATTTTGATGTTCGAGATGTGTCTGCAACTCTTGTGTGGATTCCATTACCCACATATTTGCTGTCAAAAAGTGTGCATGACCCCCAGAAATGATTTCTTGGGAAAAAAAAAGAAAGAATATTGCTTATCTATTATCATACACTCTGAGAAAACTGTAGAAAGCTTGGTCGTGACTTGGTAACTTTTAAAAATATGCATTCATCTAAAAAGTCCATATTGCGATCTTAAAATTAGCCAATAGGCTTACATATTCACTAATAATAAATGTTCATTTTAAAACCCTTGGGGAATACGAACCCTTTGACAGTTTTTTTTACCTTTTGAAAGTAGATTACAAAAGTTTAAACATATATTTTTATTTATTATATATTTTTGCTATTTTAATACAGTATCAATCAAATCAATTTTAATCAAATCAATTAATACAGTATATATTACCTATAGGTTACTATTGTAAAAATCATCAGTTGGTACATACTTTCAGTGTCACCTTTGCTTGAAATGACGATCTAACCAGCTTTCACACCTGTTGCTGCGACGTCAACTGTTGGATGGATTTTGAAGAACGAAACTATCTTGGATCGTATCAAAACCATGTACAAAGAAAAGACCCCCTGGAGACTTAAGAGATTTGGTTTACACCTGCTATTGGGATGTTTTAGTTAATCTGATCACAAATAGACAACACTAAATACAGACGTGAACCAGGTCTAAAACGCATTGAGGTTGAGCACTTTTGACTAGGGCTGCACAATATATCATTCCAGCATCGATATCGCAATGTGCACATCCGCAATAGTCACATCGCAAGACCAGCAATGTCAAAACAGGATTGTACTTTACAAAGAGGCACAGTTAAAAACACACATGATTTGTAAAGTAAAAGTTTAACCATAAAGACACCAAAAGCCAGTTTAGAGCATTCAGGCACAGAAAGTTGGCTAACAAATAATGTTGGTAACTTTAAGAAAGATTAGCTGCATTTATAGAAAATGAAACCAGTACAGTGTTATTTTACAATTAAATATTTTATCCTGTGACTAGTTTATTATAATTTATGCTGCATATAAGCTCCCAAACAAAAATCATCCAAATCATCTAAAATTATTTACATTTTAACTGTATAATATACTCAGTATTGCAATTTGTATCACAGAAAAATAAATATTGCAATGTCAGTTGTTTTTCAATATTGCGCAGCCCTACATGTGACCACTTCAAGAGGATTGTTTTCTTAAGGGATTGCTTTCATTGTATAAATGCTCATGTACTTGAACACATTCAAACAGCCACTAAAGGCTGCCTAAAGCTGAACTGCTTAAAAATAACTATGATGTTAAAGAAAGACACACCAGGGGTCTGTTCTTTGCATGTGGATTACTCGGGTTGCTGGATTTGAACATAGACGATGTGACATGATTCAGGATAGTTTTGTAATTCAAAACTCATCCAGAATTTGTCATAGCAACAGGTCTGTCAACTCAAATTTATTTGGGAGCAGCTTACAATAAACGAGATGGATTAAAACATCAGGTATATTTTCTGACTAAAAGCTGAATTTAATAAACGGAAAAACAGGCTGCTTATGTGCTTGCATATTAATGATATTAATAATTAAAATAATATTTTAAAATAACATCATATTAAAAGTTTTAGCTTGAATATAATTTTGAAAGCCACTATGAGAACAACAATGGATAAGCCTCACCCTAACCAAGAATTTTCATGACAACAAATAAACAGAAAATCAGGCCGCTTATGTGCTTGCATATAATGATATACCATATAAATATATTGTTAAAATAACAATTAAAATGATTTTAGCTTGAATATAATGTTGCATGACTTTAAAAGCCACTAGAGAACAACAATGTATAATGTATTATTGTGTGTGTGTGTGTGTGTGTGTGTGTGTGTGTGTGTGTGACTGTGAAGGGCACTTTTATCCATATTTGACAGCTTGATAATAGTTTTACAAACTTTACATTTAGCTTTTCTGCCATTACTTTTTAAAACCCATTCTCTGTAGTGGTGTTTTTAACGTCAAAAGCTGTAGAAATGTATATCATCCTGGGATGTTAGCCTTAATAGGTAGTCTGGTGACTGCATTTGTGACTTCCAGTGATTTCCAGTTGACAAGAGTGAAAGGAATAAAATGTAGCTGAAAAAATAGCCCAACTAAAATTTAAAGCAACAATAGTACTAACTGCTGAAATTCTCTCACAATGCTACTATATTAAATTGTGAATAAAGAACAGTTTAAAATTATTTAAATAGAAAAAATATATTTTAAAGTAATAAAGGTACACAAATTTTATTTATTAAAGTATTATATCTATACTCTTATAGTATATTTAATATTCAATAGGGTTTATGCCGAAGTATGCTAAAGGACTGTATGCCATTGCAAAACCGGCACGTTTAAGGTCTGTTTTATTTAAAAATCAGCAATCTTTACTGGCTGAGTGATATCCCATATAAAGTGGGTCTCAGATTGTACAAGAAACAATGCATTAAATTACATTTTTCCCGTTTACCGGACATTTACCGGTAAGGGAAGAAACACTAGCTCTGCATATACCCCATTTAATACAAAATTTTAATATGTACAATCAGGTTACAGCACAATTTAGTGTTTTACAAAAGAAATGGCTACTATTCATATTAATGTTTTTTGTTTTTTTTTCCCCTGAAGAAATAATTATTTAATTTCTGGAAATCAGGCACAAGCAGCATTGACGGCTAATGTTTCTCTTTATCCAGCAAAGAGGATTAAAACTAAAGAATAATTTAAAAAACAATCAGAGTATTAAATGAAACCATCACCTGCTGATTCTGTATCCAAATGCTTCAAGGAGAGACAAACAGACCAATCTGACCTCCAGCATTTCCCTATTATAAATGTTAATAAAAAAGTCATTTTAAAGAAATATTAAATTAGATGGGGAAAAGAAAAGAAAGAAAGAAAGAAAGAAAAGAAAGAAAGAAAGAAAAAGAAAGAAAGAAAGAAAGAAAGAAAAGAAAGAGAAAGAAAGAAAGAAAGAAAACATTTCAGATGCTGGAAGGAATCACACAATAGAACACAAAAAATAAATTTAAATGCCAGTAAAAAAGCCCATTTAATTCAAGTTAATGAACATTTATTTAATTAGTAGTTTTAAGTATCTCAAAATAAAATGATAAAAACTGAATGAATACTGAATTAAACTAGATAAATGAATGTTGTAAATGAAAAATTATGACCTACAAAATTATTTTTTAACAGTATAAATAACCTGAGCGTTAAATTTATCCATTACCTGCTGATTCTGTATCCAGATGCTCCTCAAGAAAAGAAAAATAAACCCATTTGACCTACAGCAATTACTTTTATGACTGTAAATAAAAAAGTCATTAGACAATGTTTTAAAGAGATGTTAAATCAGATAGAGAAAACTGAAAAACAAGAAATGATTTTATTGTTTTGAATCATACGATGACCATTTAATTAAAGTGAATGAAACAATTTAACTGTTAGGTTTGAGTATTTCAAAATAAAAGAATGTTTCTCTTTATACTGCACAATATAAATAAATGCTGTAACTGAAAAATATGACCTATCATTTTATATAATTTAAAAACCAACCAGAGTGTTAAATTTATCCATTACCTGCTGATTCTCCATCTAGATAACAAATGAACCCATCTGAACTTCAGCACCTGCTTTTTATAAATGTAAAAAAAAAA